TGCAGAGTTATCGTTACTTGAGATTGCAAACGTTCTTGAGATATTCTTCCGCATGCGTGTGCATAGATATTAATGATATTTTACTTATATGTATATACATGCAACAAAACATTTTAATATTATCAATTTATCTTCTTTAAAAAGTATTTGATGAGTATTCATTGAAGAAATGAATTTATAACAAGCGATAAGGAATGTTAGTTTGCACTTGATGATGTCTACGTATTCATCATGTTTATAGATCGGTTAAAAACCCAAAACGAATGTTACGTAATGGAAATCTAGGCAATAGCAATACACCGGAATGCCCTCACGGTCATCCGCTGTAAAAAATAGGATCTGCTATCCCGTTTGAAATACGTTTTTTATACAGGTACAGCCAAACTTACAAACCAAATTTTTGTAGCTAATGGAAGAATTTAGTAATGGTTTTAAGTAATTTGTGGTACATACAAAATGAATAATGTTTAATATGTCTCAAGATTATCAAACTAAGCATTAAACGACACAATGAAGAACGGCAGTCATGCTCTTAGGTGTAGATATAGATTGTATGCTAAATTTTGATAACCATATTAAAACCATATGAAAAAAAGCTGTCCAGCAACAAAATATCTTGAAGAGAATGGGTAGAAATCTATATAAACTGAGTCTAAACTAAGTAGACTTACTATTTTTCATACTTTTATATTGTCAAATTTTAACTTTTGTCCCTTGTCTTGGCACTTCTTTTCTAACTGTTGCCAACACATGGAAAATAGAAAAAAATCAAGATAGGGCATTACGATTTGTATAATGTGAGTATGTCTCTACATATAAAGATCTGTTAGTCAAGGCAAAAATACCTACCCTACATGTTTGAAGGATAAGTACAATGCCTTGGAGACTTACACAATTTTACATGATTTGGCCCCACCTGTTTTATCAGACCTAATCAGAACAATGCCATTGATATAATTTCAGGTATCCCAATCGTTTACAGATACCAGAAGTGAGAAGGTATGGTAAACAATCTTTAGGTATGCTGCTCTAGTTCTCTGGAACTCCCTCACCGTTGAATTCAGAGTGATCAAATTTTAATCAGTTTAAAAAGTCCATGATCTCTTGCTGGAGTGGTAAAGCATGCTCCTGTGTTGCCTGTAAATATCGACCACACTTCCATCCATACTATTGTATGTCTTGTGTTGTCTTATTGTGCCTGCACGATCTGTATATAATACACATGTCTTTAATTTATTGTGTATGTCGTATCAAAAGCTCACTCAGAGCCGCTTATGCTGTATTGTTATTTAAGTTAAATTTCAAATTGCCGATTTAAAATAAACTTATTTGATTTGATTTGACGACAGAATGTTTAAATTGTCTGTCTGCATTGAATTCACCACCAATTTTCAGATTTTCAAGAATGTGTTATAATTGAAGGTGAAACTTGCGGTTTTTCTAATAATCTTTCTCATTTCTAATGGGGTCGTACACCTTTAATCCACTGCTAATTATATTCTATTCATGTCTTTTTTATATATACAGATTCTTATTCCTTTGGACCTGGACAAGGATTTGTATAGTGTATACAAATCCTTACCCTGGAAAATATTTTTTATTGGTGGTGATTTCTTCCTTTTCTTCGTATGAGCTTCCTATTATAAGGAACACCCCTTAGCGGGTAATATTAAAATATTCAATAGGGGGAAGAAACAGTGATAAAATATATTACATCAAGGTAAAATCCAATGGTGGTGCGCTATACATTGACAGTGAAATGTAAAAAAAAAATCATAGTAGATAAAATATACAATGATATACATAAAAATGATAAAGCCAATCTACAGAAGGTCATATAACCCAAATAATTAGTCATTCATTTTACCAGCAGACCGGCAGCTTTCTTAAAGTTATATAAAAAGAAAAGCACTTGTTACAGAATAGTTGGAACGATATATACAGTAACAATCATTATAGTTCAAATTTTTTTTCTAATATTTCACTTTTCCATTGTCTATGTTTCATCATCCAATTCTTAATGACAATTGTCAGTCGTCTAGCTTTTTTAGAAGAGATACTCTTTGGTAATGTAGCTTGAAACAGAAGTGTCTTGTAAGCGTTTCCAGTTTATGAATTAGCTCTTCTTTGAATCCAAGTTGTTTGATATATTTTGTACAGTCCAGTACAAGTTGCGTAACTGCTAGTTTATTGTTAAACAGCAGTTTCCATGTTCCAGGAGGAGAGTTTTCAGTCACAAGTTGTTTAATCGGAGTGAAGTATTCTTTTCTCTAACTGCCTAGAACAGGACAAGTTGTTAGGACATGTAAGATATCCTCTATTTCCCTTTGGCATAGCAGGCATGTGGGGTCAATTGTATATTGGCTGAACTTATGTTTGTCGGCTTGCACCATGTAGGTCCCTGTCATGCAGCATCCTTACTTTTGTAGTGGCTTTTCGAATTTCTATCATATTTTGACCTACTGAGTCCCATACAGGATGAGTTGATTCTGCAATGCCAAAGTTGAGGTTCAGAAATTTTAAAGATGACATTTGGAAAGCTTCCTCTTTGAGTCTGAGGGTCCAGAAGGATGAGATTTCTGTTTTTACTAATTTCTTCCAGGATAGTTTTGATGGAATTGGAATGTTTTTGTCAAAAATGTCCGGTAGATTGTATTTTGATATTAATAAGGCAGTTTGAAAGAAGAAGCTATTGTTGTTGTCAAAGTTCACTGCAATTTGTCTGTTAATGATTTCTTTAATTTTATTGTTGGAGCAGGTTGTAAGGGAGTGTAGAAATGTTAATTTCCTCTTGTGAATTTCTGCTTCTACAGGGAGAACTCCAAGAAGTAAGTATACCGCCGGTTTTGCTGTCCTCGTGGCAAGAGCTTGTATTGCACGCAGTGTACCAATATGGAACCTCTCCAAAATCTGAATCTGAGTTTTTGTTAGAGAAAGGATTTCAAGGCCATATAGTAGTCTTGGTAGCACATATGTTCTATATATTGTGTAGGAGATTTTAGGGCTTAGTCCATTTGTACCATGAAGTCCTGAATTCATAAGGGCATATTTTGTTCTTCGAGTAGATTTTACACGGTCTTCTATATTTATTTCATTTTCTTTTAGGCCTAAATGGGTAGTTTCATTTGAGAGTTCAATTATATTTTCTGATAAGTTCCAGGTGTTTGTGCTGTGATTCTTTGCAGATCCGTAACAGATGACTTTCGATTTTGTTGGATGGATATTGTAATGATGTTGATTTGCATATCTTCCAATGGTGTTTAGCATTATTTGTAGTTCTGCTGGGTTAGAGCTTATCAGGGCGATGTCGTCAGCACAGGTAGGCGTTCCACAGTATATATTTCCAAGACTAAATCCTATTGCATTTTTCTCTAATTCTACTAGGAGATCCTCTACAAATATCTTATAAAGATGGGTTGACAATATTCCACCCTGCCCGACTCCTTGGAGTATATTGAAGCTGTCGCTAAGTTTCCCTTGCCATTTGACTTTAGATGTAATGCCAGAGTATAGATCTTTGATGACAAGCCATAGATCTGGGTGTATATTCCTATCTAGCATTTTGTCGTGGAGTATCAGATGCTGGACTACATCACATCAAAGGCAGATTGGACATCAACAGTAGCCAGATAGAGAGAGTTGTTTTTCCGTTCACATTTGCATTCTGATATAATGAGACTAGCAATTAGTGGACATAGCCCTTCTGTAAATCCAAATTGTAGATCAGTGTTAGGAGTAATACTGAGTTTGCCAAAAATACAGAGTTCATGGAGTTTAGAGATTACAGGGGTTACAGTAATTCCTCTATAACTGGATACTAGACATTGATTTTTTTTCCTTTTTAAGTACTGGAGTTAGAATTCCAGACTTCAATTCAGTTGGGACTGCTCTATTAATGAGTATATTATTAAATATATTTGTGAGCGTCGGAGTGACTGTTTCTTTAGCAAGTTTTAGATGTTCTGCACATAAGCCGTACTCGTCTGGGGATTTGCCAGTGTTTAGGTTGTCTATAGCTTTGGAGATGTCATCTTCTTTGTATGGTTCTATATTTGTTTGTTGGTTATATAGAACTTCTTCCACTAGTCGCTGCCTTATTTGGCATAGTTCCAAATATGAGTTATCAAATTCTGATTCTTTTGGGATACTGAGATCTTCATAGTACTTTGCGAATGCTCTGTATAGTAGGATTGAATTCTAATTCACCCTCTATGTCTATACCTGTTGAATTTGTTCTAGGTTTGGATCTATTCCTATTGATTAATTTGTAGAATAAGTCGGTGGATTGATTATCCATAATTTGCTGGTATAAATTCAATCTATCTTCAGCATGTTCCTTTCTTTGCTGACTGCGGAGCTTTTTCTTTTCTGCTTTTAGTTGTTTCCTGAAAGGGTGGTCTGGTTGTTTGCCTTCAAATTTCCATTTTGAGTATAGCTGTTTGCAATTTTTTAGATGTTTTTTGACTCTAGGTGATGCCTTCCATTTTGGACTTTTCAGTTTAATGGGTTTGGTTGGTACTGCTTTGTTTGAGGCTGTAAGTAAGGCTTTTGTGATATTTTGGATGCTGTAGGATGGTTTTTGAGTCAGTTGCAGCTTTGAGATTTCATTCTGGACAGATTCTATATATAGAGGGAGATCGGTCTGGTCCCATTGAAGCTTATGAACTGTTTGAATTTCTTTATTGGCTTTGTTTACAACAGTGGGGATGATAATGTTAGTCGTCACTGATACTGGCACATGAGCTGATACATTTGAAGATGAAGTTATTCCAGATTGTATACTTTTTAAACAGATTTTCTTGAGAGGAGAAGATATAATCTATTTGGGAGCTTGATTGTACTGAATGGTGGAAGAAGGTTTGTCTGTCAGATTTATCTTTATCAGCAGTTAAGCTCTTGTATGAATTCCTTTAATAATTGATCAAGGGTGCTCCCTTCATACGGTTTCATACAAATTATACACATATATGTAAAAACACGTTGCCTTCCCTTTCCCTATGCATCCCCTACAGTAATAAAAGACAAAGATAAATTGTTTAGCTGAGAAATTTGTTGATCAGTGGCCTGTTACTAAGAGAAAGACAATTAATTGCAGTTATTATATGCATCATGATACAATAGAACTTCAGGAATAAAGAGAACCATCGGTAGTTTTAAATGTTAACTAAACTCCACAGGCACTTTACGCAGTAAAAAATATACCTATAGACTATACACTTTAATACTTTACCCAATAATTTGTATAGTATTGACCACATAAATATTTTCTTAACTTCCGCAAGGCTTTTGAGACACATGTGTTGGTCCTATTACCAGTTTGGCCATAGTCTAGATGCCCTCTAGCAGTTAATTTTGTACGTACTACACATGTAAGTCTCGCTGAGCACTCTCCTTCTAGTGCAAAGAAAGTAGTGATCAGTTACAGCATTTTTTTTCAAATAATGGATAAATATAATAATTCAAGTGTTTTGACAAAAGATTACTTTGAAAATGAATTTTACTTAACAAAAAGTAATTTTGTCAAGAAATGTGCATCTACCATGTCTACAGCTCTAAAAATGGTTGGCACTATAACTCATTATGACTTATCAATCACAAGAACTTTAAATTTTACTTGAAAAATAAGTGAACGAAAATAAAATTGAATGCAAATAGGAAATAAACCTAAAGTTAACACTTGTAGTAGTATCAAGAAAGAGTTTAGTACGTTTCCTGAAGCCTATGTGTTTGTTATTCCAACACACCTTCTCTGTTGTTATGACTAATTAGAAAGGTATTTCACCTGACCCATATACTTCATTTCTTGAAACTGAATTTTTAATGTTATATCAACATGTAGCCTAAATATATGAAAATAATGGAATCTGAAGCAAGACGATGAATCAAATATTTTTGCCATATACGTTTTCAAGACAAAACAGTCAACTAAACACGACTGAACATAAAAAGGTGTACCCAACTTTCTCTTTTTGTTGAAATTATTGCTCAAACTTAGGATTTTTTACATCATAACATACTAGTATAGTATGCAGACACATATCATAATGCTATAAAAAGTTAATGTAAGTGCATGCTATTTATATTCCATTACAAATTATTTCGAAGATGAGTGCAATAAGGTAAACTTATAGCATTCTCAAAATATGTTTTACTCCCTATTTCGAAAAATTTCACGTTTAAAATAAATCTTACCACGACAGGTTTGTTCAATGTAAATTGAATTTCCTTCTACAAAAAATGTTTAGATCCATGTTAACGTTGCTTTTAATAAATATTTGTTTTTAAAACAAAACAAAACCGGGTCCTGATGTAGTAAACAACATTGACAAAACCAGGTCCTTCCATTTTGACATAACCTATTTTGATCCATGCATAGAAATACAAATACATGTATTGAGGTGCTCAAGGTGACTAGTCTTGAAATCTCCATGTTTAAATGATTTATTTCTGTACAATGTGCACAATTTAAAGTCATATGAAAGGAGTTTCTTTCAATTTTAATGTTAATTTTAATTTAAATAAAATTTGTATGCATGCATACAATGTATATACTAAACTACGTCCTGTATGCACGTTTTTTATAATTATTAAGAATCTATAACGTATTATCGACAAATAATATTTCATTCAGTGATTGTTGATATCAAGCTTACTAACTTTCGAGTTAGTTTTGCTGAAGTTTACCGGAGCGTGACATTGATAAACAATCAACACAAAGCACGTGGAGCTCGTGACAAACAAGTGAAGTGAAAGAGCCATGATATTTGTTTTTTTTAAATTTTCCATGCGTTCCCATTTTTTACTTAAACTTTTCCTAACAGTTGTGAAATGGTTTTTTGTATAAGATTTGTTCTTCATAGTCAGTTATTATTTTTTACTTCCAGTACACGTTTGTTTACATTCTGTCATCATGCTTTTCCCCTCGCACTTGAGCTGTGTGGTGGCCGAAGTTCTAACGAGAGGTCATGAAGTTAAGGTCACTGCATATGGGGAAAATATTGGCGGATTAGTAAACAGGAAGACAATAATTTAATATCAGTACATTTATGAAGAATTAGATGATATAAAGGATTATCTTTTACAAGAAAGTTAACTTGCACTTGTTATATAGTAACACTTAGCCATTCAAGTATATAAAACATATTCAATTTTTTTTTTAAATTTGAAGTTTCATATGACTTTAATGAGATATTAAAAAAATTTGAGGTACTGTAAGGTTCACTCAATTCATCATTTCGACGTGCATTTTTACTTATTTTTTCATTAATCTAGAACAGTTGTAGAAAATATAACATCTCACAATCGAAAATAGGCATTTTTGCACCTGTCCCAAGTCAGGAGCCTCTGGCCTTTGTTAGTCTTGTATCATTTTTAATTTTAGTTTCTTGTGTACAATTTGGAATTTAGTATGACGTCCATTATCACTGAACTAGTATACATATTTGTTTAGCGGCCAGCTAAAGGACGCCTCCGGGTGCGGGAGTTTCTCGCTGCATTGAAGACCCATTGGTGGCCTTCGGCTGTTGTCTGCTCTATGGTCGGGGTGGTTGTCTCTTTGACACATTCCCCATTTCCATTCTCAATTTTATATGTGTAATTTTATTCTTCAATTTCATAAAAATAACAATGAATAAACAGAAATCCTACTTTTTCTATGTCTGTCAGTTGTCCGTCACCGTACTGGATATAAGATACTATTGTGCTTTGTGATCTCTATTATTTAAGCATGTTTCCAGACCCCACAACTACCTGTAGGACAATGGTGTTTGTTCTGTTTATCTTAGAAAAATCAATGGAATTAATATAATCATGATACACTTGGTATGTACGTGGGGTCTACCAATTTTTACAAATAGTAAACATATTTACCACTAACTGACTAAGGTTCACTACATTTTAGTTCAGCTTTTTAAAGATACTGTTTTCTCACTTTTGATATGTTTCCTTTGACCAGTTTTACTTGTTTTTGTAATTGCCATCTGACCACTGATAGATTAAAGATATCAACCAAGATACTTTATTGATTTGACTAGCAACTGCACCGAGCACATACTTCATCAAGAATAGGACCAAACTTGCTGGCAACTGAATTTATTCAAAACAAGTATTTAAAAATCTAATGGCTTCAGTCAGCTTGTTAGAGTCAAATAAATGCACATGCTATAAATTGGCGTCGACTTAAGCGGTACTATTGATAAAAATAAACCACAGTTCACCTTCTTGCTCCCCACCCGCCTCGGAGTGCCAACTTGTGCGATGCTTGTGTAAAACTACATAAAATTACAACATTTAGGTAATCAAATTTTGTCATACAAAATAACAACATTTAAAACTTTGCATTAGATAATCTATAGTTCATTGAAAATATTGGGAAATAAAGAATGGTCCGTGCAATTGTTTTTCTCTAATTCTTACCCGCTTTATCCTTTTCTTGATCCGTTGATTATTTTTATTTAATTATTGTGTGGTTCGTTTGATCTCAGATATTCATTGGTCAAAATTCGATTATGACGTCAAGTTTTCTTGCTCTCCTCTGAAATTCCCATAGTGACGTCAACGAATATACAATCATTGTCAACAGTGATCATGTTGAATTTCAACTTAACAATCGTTGTAACCATTCACATGAATTTTGTCTCTTTTGACACAAAACTTCTTTCCTACCCAAGGTCGATGGTTCTCCCTAGGCACTCTGGATTCCTCCACAGATAAAAACAAGCGGCCACAATATAGTGCAAAAGTGCTGAAAGTGTAGTATAACACCAATCAATCAATCACAAAACTGCTTCTTTATTCGTTACATCTCAGATTAGGATAATAAATGAAGTTTCTCTTTGAATTTAATGTGGTTCTTAATATACACAATATTATTTTTGAAAATAGAGAATAGAAATTATATATATATTAGGGTATGTCATTTGTGGAAGGCTAAAAAAGACTTTCAGAAAAAAAGAGCACTAATCGGCAGAATCCTATAGTTGTCTAAAAAAGAAAGTATAAGAAACATAGTCACCAACCACTGCCTGTAATATTCTGTTGTAGTACTAGATTCAGCTAAAATATTTAGACACCTGCTGTACATGTTGACCTCTAGCACAATTAATATAACATAGGCAGATCCAGGGGGCGGGGGCCCCCTTTAGTGGGAAAATTTTGGTTGATTATATAGGGAATCACTGAAGCATGACTGGAAAAGTTCTGGATCCGCCACTGTATAATATTGTTCAAATCTGCACTACATACAATTTGTGAAATAAAATGTTTCAGGGATTTTTCTTGTTTAAATGCATTAGATATGGTGTATACTTTTCTTTATAAGTATCCATAGTTTCTACACATTTTATACTAGGTCAGTTTGTAAATAATTCCATATGATGTCGATATAATGGATAGTTTTCTTCATAAAATTTGGATGAGGTCTCAGATAAAGAAATAAACCCATTATTTGACAATCTCAAAGAATAATTTTTGAAATTAGCACACAAAGTAAAGATATCACATAAATATGAAGAGTCATTGATATTAATAAAGTTAAACATTAAAACTTGATTGTGATATTCTATTCATTCATGAATAGTTAACCAACCTAGTTTTCGAAGTAGCTGTAATGATAGGTATATTATTTTACAGAGACAAGTGCCTGTGTTTAAATCAGCAAAGTTCAAAGACTTTTTGAAAATTTTAACATACTTTTAGCATATTTATAAGTATAGCTGTTTTTATTTTTCAGAATATGATGAAATTTGGTGACCATCGTATATGTAATAACTGTTTTAAAGCTTTACAGTTATCTGTGTACAGAAAGCAATATGTGCGGATGAAATGGACATCTACAGCTGTCCGTCAGTCATTTATAGATTTCTTCTGTCAGAATCATGACCACAAGTTTATCAAGAGTTCATCAATTATCCCTACTAAAAATCAAGGAACTTATTTCACAAATGCTGGAATGAACCAAGTAAGTATACTGGTGTCTTTATCCAGGGTTGACAATACTTGCACCTATATTTATTTTGTGTTAAAACTTTGAAAGAGAAGCAAACATTACTATCTTAGTAGGCATTGAGATGTTGTCAGAATTGAAAACTGAAACAATTTCGAACATTACAATGTCTTTTCGTTTTATTTTGCAAAATTTTATGCAAAAGTGACATACTATACACTCATTATAAATAGACTATATTCAAATACTAAGGTTCTCACAACTTACAAATTTCAAAGATCAATACAGGAACAGGATTGTTTGCTATTGTTTTGGAATTTTTCAATGTGTAAAAAAAAAAGCTAATCTAGTAATTAACTAGAAAGACTGATGGACTTGAATTTGATGAATTAAAAAAGAAAAAACACCTATTACACAATTAATCTGGGAAGTCCATCATGAATTTACCTATGCAACAATTTCTTAAGAAAAATTTAAATTGTTGTAGTTGATTAACATATTTTGAAAATGAAGTATATATGGTTCCCCTGAAAATACATACTTGGCAGATTTTATAATTCATGAATCAGAAAAGCATTTTGAGAATTTGTATGATAAAATGGCAAACATAAGTATGGCTAGATTTAAAACCTCTATCCCAGGCAACTTTGATTTTTTTTTTGTATTTTGTAGGTAGGCAGATTAAATTATTTTGACTTTTAGTTCAAGTTGTGTAAGTTTTATTTCAAAATAATTAAATTTATTTTGGTTGTGCTAAATTTGGGGTGTATACAGAAGGAAATCTTACAAGCAAAACATATATATCTTTATCTTTATATCTTACCTGTATTTAAAACTACAATGTTATGCCTTACATGATTTAGAAATAAACTCTTAAAATGAAAGATATTATTTTAGAAATATTTTTTTTTCTAGTTCAAGCCGATATTTTTAGACACCATTGATAAGAGCCATCCTATGTCAGACTTGAGACGTGCTGTCAACAGTCAGAAGTGTGTACGTGTGGGAGGTAAACACAATGACCTGGAGGATGTTGGTAAAGATCTCTTCCACCACACTTTCTTTGAGATGTTAGGAAGTTGGTCTTTTGGAGATTATTTCAAGGTTAGAAACTTATTAAAACTCTAAAGCACTCATTTTCACAGGATGTATCAATGTTGCTTTTATTCAAAATTACAAATTATGAGTGTTGATTTAAATTCATTAATTTCTAGAGACAACATAATGTGAATTTTGAATTTTTTAAAGTAAAACATTTTCAAATATTATACTAACAGAAAAGTGCTTCCAGATTATGAACAGACATTTTGCCAATAAAACTTAAAACTTAGAATTAGATTTACTTTTTCAGATGGAAGCCTGCAGTATGGCATTGGAACTTTTGACAACAGTGTACAAAATACCAATCAACAGACTTTATTTTACATACTTTGGAGGAGATGAAGGTCAAGGACTGGCGCCTGACATTGAAACAAGAGATATATGGCTTAGTTTAGGGTAAATTAAGTTGGTCTGATTATATTGTTTAATGTAATATATAATCTCTGTATTGTCAACTGATAGAGCACTTATATGAATACAAATACAAACTTTAAAAAATCACAAAAATTGATAATTGCAAAATCAGCTAGAAAAGACTAAATGCGAAATAAAGTATCCAGGAAATTAATTTGACTACTTCAGTTTGATCATAGTGTTATTAGGGCCCCGCCGAATGGCGGCCGCCCTATAGTGATCAGTCTGTCCGTCCGTCTGTCCGTCAGCCTGTCCGTCAGTCTGTCCATCTGTCCGTCCGTCCGTCCGTAACAAATTGTGTCCGCTCTATATCTAGAGAACCGTTATGATTTCAAAGTTTATACTTGACATGTATATTAACCAACACCAGAGGGTGTGTCATAATGTATGTACAACTTCCTAGGTCAAAGGTCAAGGTCAAAAACTTTGGTTTTAGTTGACAACCCCATGTCCTATGGTAAAGATCGTGTCCGCTCTATATCTTGAGAACCGTTATGATTTCAAAGTTTATACTTGACATGTATATTAACCAACACCAGAGGGTGTGTCATAATGTATGTACAACTTCCTATGTCAAAGGTCAAGGTCAAAATCTTTGGTTTTAGTTGACAACCCCATGTCCTATGGTAAAGATCGTGTCCGCTCTATATCTTGAGAACCGTTATGATTTCAAAGTTTATACTTGCCATGTATATAAACCAACACCAGGGGGTGTGTCATAATTTATGTACCACTTCCTAGGTCAACGGTCAAGGTCAAAAACTTTGGTTTCAGTTGACAACTCCATGTCCAATGATAAAGATAGAAATTTTTTACCACACATTATTCACAGCGGGGCCCACAGAGATGGCTCCCATCTCAATGATATGTAGTTCCTTTTACTTCAGTTTGATATATATCATAGCGTTATTCCTTTGATATGTTTTAGTGTTTCAGCTGACAGAGTTTTACCGTTTGGGATGAAAGATAATTTCTGGGATATGGGAGACTCAGGGCCTTGTGGACCGTGTACAGAAATTCACTATGATTACATAGGAGGTCCAGACTCAGTGAGACTGGTGAATATGGGCTTTCCTGAGGTTCTAGAAATATGGAATTTAGTATTTATGCAATACAACAGGTAGTAATATATGGTCATTTTGTATTTAAAATTAAGTTTACTTACATATGTTTTACAAGTTGTACACGATTTAAACTTTTGTACCTTTTGATAAAAGGATATATGTTAGATGTATATAATACACAAATTTCGTGGGAAATGACCTTTTATCAGTACTATATTTCAGCTCTTTTCTTGACAGTTCTTAAATGTTATCAATGAACTAAAGTGTTCATACCTTACATTTAGATTCAGGCTGCTCTAGGATCAGCATAAACTAAGCCCTTCATTTATATTGTTACGTGTACATATTTGGGAATTACAATTGCTGGGTTATCAATGCATGCTATATAAAAAAATAGTAAAGATTTTTGCAATGACTGTTATGATTTGCATATATGAAAGTATAATGCTACAATGCATATGCAATTATATCTTTCTTTGGTGTTTACATGTCACTTGGGGTAACGTATGATTGAAATTAGGATTATGATTCTCAAGTCTTACTTCATCTACCATAATGGGTCTTATACGTCTGCACTGGTAAATTGTCCGGACCCCCTTTTCCTCACAAGAATTCAGAAAAAAACTTTTTATGACTGGTTGGAAATAAGGCCCCTCATGGGGGTGTCCAAGTAATCACATAATCACAAATGTTTTGCCAATATAATCACAAAATCCTTAATTATTTTTTTAAACAAGATAATCAAATAATCAAAAATACAGTCCTAGATTATCAAATAATCAAATAATCATGAAACATTTGGCCTGGTAATCAAATAATCACTACAAAAACTGCCAAGTAAACACATAATCAAAAACCCCATGAGGAGGCTCGGAAATCGTAATTTGAAATCATGTGTTCAGGTTTGCTTTATTTTCCATCACTAAGTAAAAGTTGAAAATACTTCTAAATGATTATTGAACACTTCAAGCATTTTAGATTAAGCCAAATTCAACAAAAAAAGAAGTTTTGTTTGACATTAACCGGAATAGCACATATAAATCACACACAAATACAGTGAGAATTTGTGGAAAATCTGTGCTTAATAGATATCACTATAGAATACTACTTTGAAAGTAAAACAGTTCCCTCCTTTAGTGAAATACTGTTTAATATATTCATCACATTATGTTTGAAGGACCTTTAGCTAAAACAAAACACATGCAGCAGTATGGAACATCAAAACAGAACAAATAACTTATTACATTTTGTAATTTAACCAGCGTATGCGTAAGCTTGTTCTAGGCTGACTTTTTAAATTATATGTAGCGTCAGATACAAAGGGATTTTAATGTTATGGAAAGAAATGATAGATTTGAAATGAAGCATATGATTTTGATATTTATCAGTTAATATTGTATTTTTAAATTAAAATGGCATATCAATATTGATTAGGTAAATTTTAAGTTTTGAAAAGAAAGATGGGCACCTCTACAATTTCAATAACAAACATGGTGGAACTTAAAAAAACATTGCACATTTATTATTTTCTTTTGTTTCTTGCTTTTAGATCTCAATAATTCGCAAACCTGCCTAGCACTTTTTATTTTGGAGTGAAAACCATGGACAATACAAGACAGAATTCTGTATTCAAAACTTGTCTTATTTATTGTTCTTCCTTATTTTTGATGCAAAAGTTAAAGTTTGAAATGAGTATGGCTTTTTTAACTTTATTTTTTTACTGCCTAATTATTGGTTGAAATTAATAAAAAAACTAAAACTTACCTGTTTTATTTAAGAATAATTAACCTGATCAGTTGAAATATGTTTGTGTCTTTAATGTTATATTTGAGTTAAACTTTTTTGACAGTTTAATACTATGTTGTAGGAGAACAGATGGCACTTTAAAGCCATTGAATAGGGTACATGTTGATACAGGGATGGGAATGGAGAGAATGTTGGCTGTGATGAACAACACATCTTCAACTTATAATACAGATCTATTTATTCCTGTGTTTAATGCTATTCAAAAGGTTTGTGCTCGTTTCAGTTTTCAAAATATTTTTATGATGGAACATTATTGCAGACACACAGCAATAGACAGCTAGTGTTTTACTTTTGTAACTAAAAGTTTGTAGTGGCAGCTTAGATGACCACTGGAATGTTTTATTGGCTGGAATTGCAACAATAGGCACCTTGGAATCATTTGTATGCCTTACAAATCCCACATTTGATTTACTCTGTTTTATCTTTAAGGAAAATGTATAGCCATATTCACTTTTAATAAAATAATAGTTTCAAATTTGCAGTAATATAAAATAAAAAGATATGGGAAAAGTATGTATTTGTTTATAGATATATATACATTCAATGACTTTTATTATTTAACCTGATATTTTAGGGTTGTAATATTAAAGGTTACGGTGGGAAAACCAATGATCCTATAGATACAGCCTACAGGATTGTAGCTGATCACACCAGAATGGCTTCAGTCTGTATTGCTGATGGTTTGCTACCAGGAACTAGAGATCAGGGGTATAATCATGTTTATTTGCAATATAATATTCAGTTTAAGATCAATCACTGGGATTCAATGGTATCAGCTATAGACATGTTTTGAAAAATGTGGATATCACCCTGCAAGAATATACCTAACAAGATGTCAAAACTTTTCATTTGATAGACAGCACCCCTTTTTAAAGAAATGTTTAAATTTATGAGGTTTTAGTTTTCTTATATTGCAAACACATAAAAACATTTGAATTGCACTAGTGATCTCAGTGGTGTCATGTTAGGGGCTTGCCTCTAGTGCAAATAATTAGTTTGAACCACGGCCAGGTCAAATTAAAGACTTGAAAATGGAATGTTCTGCTTCTCTGCTAAGCACACAGTGTTTAGGAGTAAGAGCAAAGACTGGTTGGCTACGAGTCATAATTATGTGTCCTACAGGGTTATATGTCTTCCTGCAGACTGTTACCTTTTCGAACAAGTATATGAAAATCTGGCTCCGCATGTCAGTCTGGTACAAAGCAGGGTTTATATACATATCACATTAACATGTTCTCATCCTGAATTTACATTTTATTTGCCACTGGAAGTTAAACAGCCATCCATCAACATGGTTCCTAGAAAATCTAATTGTCTTATGCATCAATTTGCACACATACACACTGTGATTTTTTTTTTAATGTCTTAAAAGCAATGCAATGCACATTGTTTCAACTTTTCTGGGTTGTACAGGTTTTTTTCATGAAATATATTTAATGTAAAAAAATCATATTAAAGCATAAAAGCTATGAAATAGAGAAATAGAAAAACACTTCCAGGCTGTCAGTATCTGTTCCTATTATTCATGCACTTGGAGAAAAGAAAAAGGAAAGTTGACTTAACTCCCAATATCTCTAATGAATAAAGGTGTACAAGATGTGGCTGGATTTCAATTCAGGATGGAACTCCAATTAGATAGCAAACTTTAAAAATTAACATAGATCTTTGAGAGAACTCTTAACATTGGGGTAACATCCAAACCATTCAATAAAGACAACTGGGTATCTTAAATCATTGTTCCCAGTATTTTTCATACCATTGGACAATAATGAACAAAAATCAATCTGTCAATATTTTAATGGCATAATTTTATTCCTTATAAATATAGAAGATGTGGTATGATTGCCAATGAAACACCTTTCCACCAGAGACCAAATAACGTAGAAGTTAGCAACTACAGGTCACTGTACGGCCTTCAACATTGACCTTACTTCATACTGCATAACAAGCTAGAAAAGGCCTGGACATGACAAAAGAAAAACAATTCAATTCATTTCTTGTTCATATATAATCCTATACAATTAGTGATTGAAAGAGAGAAAACCTCTTTCACCATTTGTTTACCAATTATTTGATTTGCTTTTAAAAACAATAATGTGAAATTTTATAAAAAATCTTATTAATTACATTTGTTGACTAAAATATTACTCAAAGGTTCAAGAATATAAATTTACACATATAACATAACATAAATATATGGAATATTTCTTTTAAATTTACGTTTGTCAATAGGGACATGAGGGATGTGTTCCTTAAAATAACAAATATCTGCACATTGTCAATTATTTAACTTTATATCCAATAATTTCCACTAACAAGCAGTTAAAAATATATTACAGACACAAGCTGAGGTCTGTTTTGTTCAGATGCTTTCACCAATCAAAGCGGATGTTACAAATGCCTCATGGATTAGTGCCTTCACTTGTTGATGTGGTTGTCCAAAGTCTGGTATGATGATTATTATACTGCTTTACAAAACTGAATTTATGTCTTGACGATTTTCATCAAACTTTTACATATTGGAAAAAATGAAAAAAGTATTAAATTCTGAACAAGTTAATTAAAAAAGCCAAAAAAAAAAAAGAAAAGCAAAATAAGTTAAAAGGAAAAAAAAACTCAATCGCTGTGAGATATAACGGACCTGATTTCATTTTTCAATATCTTTTTTGAAAAGTTCAACTCTAGCAATGACATTAAAGTGAATAGATTTTGTTGACTTTTAAAATCATGTGAGTTGTTTTATTTGATGACAAGACACACCTCTCTTAGACATTCAGATTAGTTTTATATGGAGCCCTGAAATAAATTAAATCATATTTTTTTTTGTCTAGGGAGAAGCTTTTCCTGAATTGCAAGAACATAGATTAAAAGTGAGTCAGTACATGTATTGGCTGTAATAGTTTGCATATATTTTATATATGTTTTATCATTACCAATGTCTCCTTCAACTGTGATATGTACAAGAAGCATATTTATTAATCTTGTATTATTGTCCATGGTAGAAGTATCTCAATAATAACTGCAAGCATTAAATTTAGGAATTTTAGTACATATTACTACCTACCTACAGGTTTTTCCAGCAGAACTATGTCAGATGACAATAAGTACAAATATTTTGAAAATATCTGATGTTGTAGTATAAACACAACAATTATAGTTGGTAATTGTGAAACTAATTTGTGCTTATTACAAAATCACTGGAAAAAATTACCACCAATGCTTGTGTTTCTTTCTGTATTTATAAAGGGTATACAAAAACATTTGATAAAGATGGTATCATGCTGAAAAATAAATCTGTTTCCAAAGTTTGACAAACATATTCCAAGGTTACCAAAGTAATGGTGTAGTTCTTAAAATTTCTTCTTTGTTTTATTAAAAGTCTAATGATCACATATTATGGTATCTTTTATTACATAATCATTGATATACAAATTATCATTCAATTATACTAACTTGTACATTGTATAGGAGTTTTTGAAATGTATAATAATTAAATTACATATTGTTTCAGATTAAAGATGTGATATCTGAGAGTGAGGACCATTATGAAAAAGTATTTAGAATTGGAGCAAAAGCTTTTGACAAATACTTGTCTTCTAACAAGGATACCCCATCAAGACATTTAACAGGTCAGCATAATTCCTCAAAATAAATATATTTAAAGGTTGGTAGTTATATAACTGCTAATGTTTTTGTAAAGAATTTGAGAGGAATGGTTGACATTTAGTTGAAGGAGTTGGTTGCTCTGGGATAGAATTTGTGAATTATTGAATGAAGCTTAGTATTCTACTAAAGATTCTCATATAATTAGGTTTCTCAAAGTATTGGGACATTCCATAAAGATGTATGAATGTCTTAAAAGTCATGTTAAGTGTTTCAACCTATGGAAAAACAAACTAAAGTAATCATTAGTAATGGGAATCCTTCTATAACCTGGCAGCTGCAGAATTTGTTAAACATATGTAATCAATAAGTATGAACATTTACTGATAACTTCATCAGTACTACCATAGTTTATTGTGAAGAAGGAAACTTAAACACACATTCCTGCATATAGAACAAAACTTATTCCCATCAAATGATTATTTGCCTGTCCCCTATAAGAAATCTCATCATTGGTTGTCTTTATGTTTTTGTCTAATTGCTAAATTGATTTTTATTTTGGATTTTTCTTCATTCTCCATTGATTTGCTTTGCCGCTTGTAATTTTTTTGTCCATTTAAACTTTTTTTGGCCATTCTAATCTTATGGTAAGGCAAACAATCAGTCAGTCATATATGTGTACACTTATTTTGATTGACTTCTCAAATGCAACCATCCAAGAAAAATAAATTAAGAAAAAAATAGTTTAAGGTACAGTCGAACCTCGTTGTGTCGAAGTCGAAGGGACCGGACCAAAGTTTTCGACTCATCCGAGGTTGACTCATTCGAGGTCGAGTGTGTTGTCATAAATTTTGAATGCATGAAATACTGTAAGAGATTTGTGTAAACTAGATACAATGAACAGTCTGCCTTTTTTTCGATATGACACTTTATGATTGTGTATTCAATCTCCATTTTTGGTCCTTCTTAATAATTAAAAACACAAGTACAGATACAAATTATGCACAAATAAAATCAATAGTCGTTTCGTTTTTATCTCAGGTGAAAAATGTTCGACACACTAACATTCCGCTTGAACGATCAACAAAGGTGTTAATAAGGCGGTCACCATAAACATGTCATTTTAATTGTTATACAAACAAGTATGTTTACTCAGCTTTAATCTCTTTTGAAAATGATTAGGTGACATAAGAAATACATCCGATTTGAATTGTTATCATAAGGTCTGCATCTTGCGAAAATTCTTACTTTCGAAGTTCAAGACATCGGGGTCAATTTACATTAATTTTACTTCGACGGGACTATAAAATTTACTCGACTTAACCGAGTATTCGAATCAACCGAGTTCGACTCATCAGATGTAATTATGCATTGATCAAACGGCAATTTTACCGGGACCAAGAAATTACTTCGACTCATCCGAGTTTTCGACACAACAAGTTTCGCCTGTATATAAATAATTGATGAATGTTATATATATTGCAGATAAGATTTTAATGGATATAGTTGATGGTAAATACAGTGATGGGTATGGCATACCATCAGAAATGTTACCACACCTGGGTGAAATATACAATGTATCATTAGATATACAAGGCTTACAGCAAATTGTAGAGCAAAATCAAAGTAAAGAACAGGTAAGAGGGAGATTCTACTTTTAAAGAGGGGGGGGGGGGGGATTTTGATTTTTAAATTTTTTAATCTAGGCCTTCAATAGTAGAGGCAAAAGTAATCCAATAAGTGCATCTATGCCCGGTTATTTTGTCAGATTGATATGTACATTATCAGGTTAAAGTTTTGGTTTAAAGTAGTTTACCTTGAAGTAAAATGTGGTCACATCAACTTGAGATTTAGCGCACATGTTCATAATGTTGTAAACTTTTACAATAGATTAAAAAGTTGGGTTTTAATTTAGATTATACAGTCCACTGAACATAGAAAGTTTATGGTGTGAGTGGTGTATGGAGTCCTATGGACACATATTCTTGTTATACCTTTAATACAGGAATGAATGATGTATTCCTTGTGATTCAACTGAAGAAGATAAATAATGTTTATCAATGCATGTAGTCATGTAAAATATCTTAGTTCTCATATTTCCTCATTAATTTCCACTTACTTACTTTAATTTGCTTACACAGAGAGCTGTTCCAGGTAAGGGGAGGGTTGGCGACTTCAAACTAATTTAACCCTGCCACATTCTGTATGGGCCTGTCCCAAGTCAGGAGCCTGTAATTCAGTGGTTGTCGTTTGTTGCTGTATATCATATTTGTTTTTAGTTTATTATTTTGTACATAAATCAGGCCCTTAGTTTTTATTTGTCAATTCGGGGCCTTTTCTAGCTACTCCAAGAATTAATTTAAAATACCTATGTACAATTTCATTAATTAATTTTGTCCCTTTTGGGTGCTTCTATAAACAATATTATTCCAGGTTGAAAACACAGAAAAAGCATTTCTTTCACCAGAAACTCTAAAGGAAATAGTTGGTATGGGAATCACACATACTGATGACAGTTTAAAGTATATGTATAAATATCACAGTAAAGATGGTGTGTATGGTAAGTAAACTATATATATATATATTTATATATTAATTCACTTGCATTTAACAGCATGCCAGTATAATTAAAAACAATGGATCTTTTATTCAATATGGTAATAAGTAATGTAACACCTACTTCATGTTTTCCATTACTTTAATTATAAGTAGGGGTTTGCTTAGCATTACAAGGTGCTTAATCCTGTTAACGTTTGGATGAACTTGAATCTTGGAATTTTAATACAAGGGCTGACCTGCAAACTGTTGATACAATTACAAAGTTGTTATGAAGATAATTTCAGCTGTTTTTCAAACGAGGTATCCTTTATGTTCACTGGAAAAAATGTACTTCCTTGAATTTGCTTTGCCTGTTCTGAAGCTATATATGATATATTTTCAGACTTCCCTCAGGGAATGAAGGCAATAGTTTCAGCCATTGTTAAAGATGACCATTTGTTCAGTGAAGCTGTGGGACAAGAAGAGTTTGGTATTCTGTTAGATAAAACAATATTTTATGGGGAATGTGGTGGACAGATTGCAGATAAAGGATGTATTAAGACTAATGTAAGTTTGGAAAGTTTGTTAGATAAAACAATATTTTATGGAGAATGTGGTGGTCAGATATCTTGCTATTAAAGGATTATTAAGACTAATGTAAGTTTGGTATTCTGTTAGATAAAACAATATTTTATGGAGAATGTGGTGGACAGATTGCAGATAAAGGATGTATTAAGACTAATGTAAGTTTGGAAAGTTTGTTAGATAAAACAATATTTTATGGAGAATGTGGTGGTCAGATATCTTGCTAATAAAGGATTATTAAGACTAATGTAAGTTTGGTATTCTGTTAGATAAAACAATATTTTATGGAGAATGTGGTTGTCAGACTGCAGTTAAAGGATGTATTAAAACTAATGTTAGTTTGGGAATTCTGTTAGATAAAACAATATTTTATGGGGAATGTGGTGGTCAGATTGCTGATAAAGGATGTATTAAGACTAACGTAGTTTGGTATTCTGTTAGATAAAACAATATTTTATGGAGAATATGGTGGTCAGAATGCAGATAAAGGATGTATAAAGACTAATGTAAGTTTGGTATTCTGTTAGATAAAACAATATTTTATGGAGAATGTAGTGGTCAGATTGCTGATAACGGATGTATAAAGACTAATGTAAGTTTGGTATTCTGTTAGATAAAACAATATTTTATGGAGAATGTGGTGGTCAGACTGCAGATAAACGATGTATTAAGACTAATGTAAGTTTGGTATTCTGTTAGATAAAACAATATTTTATGGAGAATGTGGTGGTCACAATGCTGATAAAGGATGTAATAAGACTAATGTAAGTTTGGAAAGTTTGTTAGATAAAACAATATTTTATGGAGAATGTGGTGGTCAGATATCTGGCTATTAAAGGATTATTAAGACTAATGTAAGTTTGGTATTCTGTTAGATAAAACAATATTTTATGGAGAATGTGGTTGTCAGATTGCAGATAAAGGATGTATTAAAACTAATGTTAGTTTGGTATTCTGTTAGATAAAACAATATTTTATGGGGAATGTGGTGGTCAGATTGCTGATAAAGGATGTATTAAGACTAATGTTAGTTTGGGAATTCTGTTAGATAAAACAATATTTTATGGGGAATGTGGTGGTCAGATTGCTGATAAAGGATGTATTAAGACTAATGTAAGTTTGGTATTCTGTTAGATAAAACAATATTTTATGGAGAATGTGGTGGTCAGACTGCAGATAAAGGATGTATTAAGACTAATTAATGTAAGTTTGGTATTCTGTTAGATAAAACAATATTTTATGGAGAATGTGGTGGTCACAATGCTGATAAAGGATGTATTTAGACTAATGTAAGTTTGGTATTCTGTTAGATAAAACAATATTTTATGGAGAATTTGGTGGTCAGATTGCTGATAAAGGATGTATTAAGACTAATGTAAGTTTGGTATTCTGTTAGATAAAACAATATTTTATGGAGAATGTGGTGGTCAGATTGCTGATAAAGGATGTATTAAGACTAATGTAAGTTTGGTATTCTGTTAGATAAAACAATATTTTATGGAGAATGTGGTGGTCAGATTGCTGATAAAGGATGTATTAAGACTAATGTAAGTTTGGTATTCTTTTAGATAAAACAATATTTTATGGAGAATGTGGTGGTCAGATTGCTGATACAGGATGTATGTATTACTGTGACTTGACTGTTAGTGTTGCTTTCCACCTATTGCAATTTATTCAAAATTCTGACCAAATTGCAATATGTTTAAACAACCAAACTGTTCAACTGGTCAGAAATTTGAACAAACTGCTGTAGAGAACCATAGTCAAGTCATGAAAGTGCAAGGTGATAAAATAAAGCATACTTACAGATCCCCGTGCTTGTGGTGTATGCCCTTATATTTTTTAATTATGGGTTGTTTGCCTGTAAAAGAGCTTTCACATGTTTATAGCTTACTGTTCGGTGTGAGCCAAGGCTCCGTGTTGAAGACCGTACTGTGACCTATAATGGTTTACTTTTATAAATTTTTACTTGGATGGAGAGTTTTCTCATTGACACTCATACCACATCTTCTTATATCTATTTATAATACTATAAGACTTCAGTTCCACTTCAATGTTATTATGAAAAATCAGTCTAACAGTTTGTATAGAAATTTTATTGTTATTGTCATGCTAAAGGTGATGGGTAGTAATTTTGAATTGCTATAAAAATGTCCAAACTAAGATTTCATACAATTTTTCTTTCGAAAAGTCTTCTATATTCATAAGAATTAAACATCATTTGAATTAAAACATCTTACATTCAGTAAAATATATGTGAAATTACAATACGTTGTTAATAAGTTTCCATGGGAGCTTTTGAAATAATCATACATGAGAATGAAATAATTATTAGTAATTGTCGATGTGATAGTTGAACATGGTCAGCAGGTAATATATTTTAAGGTTTACTTTTTCAGAATGGCGTTTTCTATGTTAGAGATGTACAGATATTTAATAAGTATGTTCTACATATTGGTAATATGGAATCAGGAAATATCAGTGTTGGAGATTCTGTTTTCCTTCACATTTACGAGGTAATTATAAGTTTTACAAGGAAAACTTTTACAAGGCATGCATAGATTAGATAGTATATTGAGGTAGTGTTGTCTTCTTCAAAGGAAGTAATATAATCCTACACCACAAAACTGCATGAGCTGATACAATATTAAAAATGATACAGAAAGATTAAAAATCTTTATTTGCACTAATGACTCCAAAAAAATGAATGCCATCGTGGATTTTTCATGAAAATGTTGCCAATTAGTGGTTAATTTTGTATTCATTTTCAAATTTTAATTTGTTTCTGACGACAAAATGGAGGTTGAATTTTTACTTTTACCGTTCAGGACTGATGGTTCTTGATAGATTGGAAAAAAGGCACAGAACGTGGCAGTTCAAAAAAGCCTGAAAGCATTATATATTAGAACATCAATTTCATTCGTAATAGCTGCCCTCATTAGTTAAACAAAAGTTAACTTCAAAATACAGAAAACTTGTTTGCTGTCAAATTGAGGAGGGGGCATTAAGTGTTACCCTTGTCCATCTGTACGTCTGTCCGTACGTACATACGTTCAAAATACAGAAAACTTGTTTGCTGTCAAATTGAGGAGGGGGCATTAAGTGTTACCCTTGTCCATCTGTACGTCTGTCCGTACGTACATACGTTCAAAATTGGTTTCCATTCCCTAAGTTTAGTTTGCCTCAACCAAATGTTATACAACTTACACACATTCTTATTACCACAAAACACAGATCAAATTTGAATATGGGTGGCGTCATTTTTACCGTTCTTGAGTTATGTCCCTTTATAACATAATATGCAAGCGGGGGCATTTCTCCATTTATTTATGAATGAGTTATACCTGTTGACCTGAGGTCAATCAGCATACTTGACGTCACCAACAATCAGTTCTTACTGTGACTAAATATTACAAAGCATTGTGACATAGGAAATTTACTGGAAAATGCACGAATTTGAAAGTCATCTATTAAGAATTTTTATGTATTATTTACTGTGTTTAATGTTTTTTTTAGGATCACAGATTAGGGTGTACGAAGAATCATACAGCTACACACATACTGAACGGATGTCTGAGGAAGATTTATAATAATGTCAGACAGGAAGGATCTAGAGTCTCTCCTCATAAATTCTCTTTTGATTTTTCAACGACTGTAAGTGTATAATAATGTCAGACAGGAAGGATCTAGAGTTTCTCCTCATAATTTCCCTTTTGATTTCTCCACGACTGTAAGTTTATAACAATATCAGACAGGAAGGATCTAAAGTTTCTCCTCATAAATTCTCTTGATTTTTCTACTACTGTAAGTTGTTTTAGTACACATACCACATCTGATATTATACAATTATTGACTTTTGATGAGGTTGATACATTGATTTATCAACCCCAGAGATATGAGATTCACAGAGGCCTATGACTGAGTGTGAATGTCATATCTCTGGCATTGATAAATCATTGTATCAACTGAAATCAAAAGTCAACAATTGTTTTATTATATGACTTTTTATCCTTCTCCAGTTTCTAGTATTTGTTCAAGATACTTTTAAAACTGCTCCCTATTTTTCTACTAAATATATCATTTGCTTTTGCAGTTGTTAATTTTCATAAGTTGAAATATTCAATAAAGTTTACTAAAACAATACACCAAAAACAAGAAGAAGAGAAAAAATGCACTGAAAACAAGAAGAAAAAGAAAAAAACTGGAATTTACATGATGTCATAAACCTATGTCATTGATGTTGCCTTTGATATTTAGGTACACAGACCCTGTTCCAAATCTTATATTAACCTCTTGGGATTTTTGCCATGGTGAATATAATGTTTTATCAAAGAGGAGTTCCTATGCTTTAAGCCAATGAGAAAACAGAAAATATAGTCATATAATAAGATATGTTGTATCACTAATTACAATATTTGTGATTCTCTTCTATCAGTTAACATCATTTGAAAGTTTGTTTTGTTCTTCAATCAATAAGCCATTTGGAAAGTACCTTTGACATGAAATATTTAAGTAAGTGACAATAAAAATATACTTTAAATTCAGAAATTTTTGTGATGTTCTTATAAGTACCCTACCGACTAAGTCGAGGACATTAGGTTTGCACTTCTGTCTGTCTGTCTGTCCATCCGTCAGTCTGGCAAATCAGTTTTCTGCACTTTTTGCGTCATGCTTGAAGATATTAATTTGATAATTGGTATATAGTTCTATCATGCCAAGCTACAGATCAAGTTCGAATTTTGTTCTGGTCTGATGATTTTGTGCAGAGTTATGGTCCTTGAACTTAGAAAGTTCACTTAAATAATCAGTTTTCCTCACTTTTTTTCGTCATGTTTAAAGATATTGACTTGATATTTGTTATATAGTTTATACCATACCAAATTATAGATCAAGTTAGCATTTTGTTCCAGTACAGTGAATTTTTAACCGGAAGGAGACTTTGATTGCCATGCAATACTCTCAGAATGCTTGTTATTGTTAAAATTGTGATGGGATAGGTATCTTCAAAATAAAAAAATGTATTTTGAAAATTGATGGCATAATTTGTAAACAGCATGCCATGAAATATTAATATTTAATCTAGCATTTCTGAGTTTATGGTAGTTCATTCCAAATCAACCAGCTGACAGTTATGATGAATATAAAAACAGTTATACTCCAGATTGATATTATTTTACAGTCCCAAATGAAGCAAGAAGATCTGACTACATTACAAGATAATGTACAACAAATCATCAATTCTGGTTTAACAATCTGTAGAGGACTTCAGCCACTAGATCAGGCATTACAGATACCTAATATAATAACAATGACAGATGAGGTAGGAAACTAATACAGTTATTGAATTTCACAATAAAAAGATAATAATTATGACAATAAATACATCTGTTCATAGATTAAAAAAAAATTATGCATATAAATATAATTAAGAGTATTAAGGTTTATACATTAACAAGGCATCAACCAATCAATATAAAAACCCAAAGACAACAATATGCAGGATACAGTCTTCAACAATAGACAGGTGTAAGCTCTTAATCACACAGATTCAGTAAGGAAGTTTCATGCAGACACTCTGAGTGTTCAACAGAAGATAGTAAACTTTTACTGGTTAAGTGGTTAAGATTAAAACTTTTGTGTAATATATTTTTACCCAAGTCTTGTGTATACAGTAAGTGTTGGTTTAGGTTAAGACTTTTGTGTAATATATTTTTACCCAAGTCTTGTGTATGCAGTTAGTATTGGTTTAGGTTAAGACTTTTGTGTAATATATTTTTACAGGAGTACCCAAGTCATGTATATACAGTTAGGATAGGAAGTGAAACAAGTGAATTCTCGACAGAACTTTGTGGAGGAACGTAGGTATTTCTTAATGTAAAATACATCGTAGACTCTTTTCTTTGACATTTGACAAGTAAATCAACAATGAAAACACCATAAGAATGTTATCAGTTTTATTGTACGTATTGCAAACAAAACCAAAGTGTGACTTTTTGAGTTTTGTCAACATTTTATGTTAAGTTTTCTGATCAGACTGATATCAGAATAATTATGAATTAAATAATATGATCGATATACATTAATGTAACAGCAACCCAATGACACAAAAAAAAAAAAAAACAAGACATCTAGAAATCAACATACATCTTTTAACAATAGACAAATGTCTTTACAATATGTTAATACCTTAATTGCCCAAAGTATAAGAAAATTGTGGATAAATTGATAGAGACTATCAAAGATCTTCCACCTATACCAAATCACTGGTGAGGTTCTTGTCTTTTAAAAGGCACATCAACATGTGACCTGGTTAAACTAGTTTGGGCCAACTGTGCCTTTCTCATCACTGTTTATCTTTTATAAAAATCTTCTCTGAAACTACTGGACCAAATTTGACTAAATTCAAATATAAGCCACAATCATCATTTGGGTATCTAGTTTAGTCATGTGTATGATGACCCTGTCTGCCAACTAACATGGCTTAAAATAGAACATAGGGGTAAAATGTCTATTATCTTGAAAACTGCTATAGATATCAATAATCTGACAAGGCAGAAATAATTAGAATCTTCAGATTTTACAATTTGTTAGATAGCATTATAATTGTTACAAAAGTTACAAAAGCAACTAAAAAAGAATAATTTTGATTTTTTGAATCAACAAAAAGTTTTTCAATGCATTAGAATAAAGAATTAAATTGCTATTGTATCTCTGTCACTGGTCTTTGTATTTCAGACATGTAACAAATACCAAAGATATTGAATCATTTTGTATAACATCAGCTTCTATGTCACCACTTGGTATAAAACGTATGACATGTTTGTCAGGAACTCAAGCAAAACAGGTAAACTTTATTCTATGTCAACATTTACTGGTAATAAATAAGTATGAACTGTATATCAATAACACATTTCAAGTAGGTACATATAAAATTACGGTTGCAACTTCCTATAAAGGTTGAAGTTAGAAATTGTCAAGTATCAATTGAGTCCAAAGGACTAGAATGAGATATATGAGGTCATTTCTTCTGTGATCTTCTGAACTGATGGTATGCTGTTTTTTGGTGATAATTAATCTGCTATTGTAGGCTTTGGTTGCTTAGTGATCTATTAAAGTAGTTCAACTACTGTATCACTAGCCTGTCAACACTTGAGGTTGTGAGTTTGAACTCTACACATGGCAGGTGCGTTTGATTTCTATCTTAATTGATTAGGATTGCCAGTTTTCCTGTCGGAAGTTCTCTCTGGGCACTCAGGTTTCCTCCACCAATAAAAACTGGATGAGAGTGGCGTTAAACACTAGCAATCAATCAATCAATCTGCTTTCACATTAGTATTGGTGATTTCTGATATTTTTACAAATCAGGATAGTACTGGTTACAGTCAGCAAGATTAAACGACACAACATTCAAGTTTCTAATCAACTTTCCGGTATACAATGCACTTCAAACATATTTTTCAAATTTGAAGAAAAATATTAACTTATTACACTTGTTTTTTTTTTTTATTTCAGGCTATTGATAATGGATGTAAACTTGAGAATTATCTGCAGAATTTTGAAGCTATGATAAAATCTGAATCTGAAACTGATACTTGGTTAGACAGAGTTAAATATATCAATAAGGTTTGGATAATTTTATCATTAACAAAAAACATTTTGAAAAATGACAAGGTTTCAAATTAAACCTACCATTGACTTGCCATTTCATAAAATTTTTAAGACTTGGTAAATGAATGGCAGGTTTAAAGAATGGATTGCTTACAAAAAACCAAGATAATTAAGTTAGGCAGATATTTGATTAAAATATTGTTTTATACAGGAAATAACAATGTTAAATTACAGGCTTTGTGCAAATTCTTATCTATTTAGGGAATGACTGTAATATTTTTTCTGTCTATGAAGAAATAACATAAAAAATGTAGTGCACACTGAATAACCCGCGTAGTGGGTTATTTTAAAGTGTGCACCACATTTTTATGTTATTTCTAATAGACAGAAAAAAATATTACAGTCATTTATAATTTAATTCTTAATTTCATTTTAAACCGGAGTAAATCATGAAAAAACATTGATGACATCAAGGTCACATGACAAAATTATCCAGGGCTTCCAAAATTATTTTAGCCAGCCGGACATTTTATATATTATCCCAATTTTAATCCCTTAAGACTAAATAAACAAAAGGCAATTATAGTAATCAGTTGCAGAGTTGGCCATCCCAATGATTGACATTAAAAAAAAACGATATTAAACTTTCTTTGATTCAAATTCGAAGTTCTGACGTAAACTGTTAAATTGGCAGTGCATCATTAGAAGTGTGCAACATCAGCGTACTTATATCTGCCTTAGACCCTTTATTTGTGCAAAATAACGTTGTCAAAAACTTTACTTTCGTTTTTATACCGGATGTTATCTTGACAATGGTAAAACATGGACCAGAGACAGATACGTAAATTCCGTGTACGTTTGCAAAGCGTGAATGAGTGGAAGTAGCTCTTTCTACGTTATTTCTTCAAGAAAATATTCGAAATAAACGTGAGATAAAGGTATCAATGACAATTTAAGCATTTTTTGAAGAAATTAGGATGCATAATTAAATTAAACACCTGCGCACATGCGCACACATGTACTAGTTCAAACAGAGACATGTCTCTAGGTTCAAACAACGTGGTTATGACGATTTTCCATTTTCACCTTTTGAATTTTTTCATCAAATCATATTTGTAAACGTATTTCTGATAATTTAAATCTTTTTGGCTAAATTAATTAGATGCAAACCGCTGAAATGTAAGAAAATAACTTTGAATAGACCGATCAATGTCCAGTTCAAAATAGTTTACCTGTCACCTGAACAGGTAAATTTCTGCTGTTTGACAACTAATTAGCCTTGATTAAAATGAGAAGGTATTAAAGTAGGGGTTGTTTTGATAGTACTTAATGATCATGTCACTTTTATGACCGGAAATGTGTGGCTGTTAAAGGCAAAACGTTGGGTAAAAAAGATCGCGAATTATGTTAAAATGACCGTCTCTTAAAGCCTTGAAAACTAAAAAGTAGATGACCGTTTCATGCTTTGCCCAGCCGGACTTTTACCGGACATTATACAAACAAAACAACGTCAGCCAATTGGGAGACGTGTTACTTCCAAAATTAAATTATTTGTTATTGATACTTGTTTTAAAATAACAATCAGATTTCATAGATGGTCTCTTGGTAGTGTTCAAGCCTTAAATGTTGGATTCCATTGGTTCTATTCTAAGTTAGACAAACTCAAAAATCAATATGTGCTGCTTCTCTGCCAAACAGGTTTAGAAAGAAAAGCTTAAACTTTTATTGTGTAATCGATGCAAATGTTTGAATCAAACAAAAATATTTATAACATTTATTAATGTTAAATAATGGCATACTACAGTTATTAAATAATTTTGATTAAAATATCTTACAATAATACAGTCAAATCTGTAAAATCAATTTTGACAGTTGAGATGTACTAAAGGTTTACTAAAGGTTTAGTGAAGCAGTCAAGAATTTGTTGTGGCTACTCTGCAGGGTTTTGTTGATTAATGTAAAACATTTTTTCAAAAGGTTTTAAAAGATGAAGCTATACCAAAGACAGTTCATGATGATATCAGACTTAGAGTGGACAGACTGGGGGATTCTTTGAAGGCAGTGTTAAATACTATAAAGAAAGAACAACTCAGACAGGTAACTGTGAAACAAAGGAGATTTGGGGTAAAAATCAATGACAGAATTCCAATGACACAATAAAAACAAAAAACATATAAATTATAAAAAAGAAGATGTGGTATGATTGCCAATGAGACAACTCTCCACAAGAGACCAAATGACACAGAAATTAAAAACTATAGGTCACCGTACAGCATTAAACAATGAGCAAAGCCCATACCGCACAGTCAGCTATATTAACATTTAAATGTAAAAAATCAGTTGCCAGTTGCAGTTTGAAGCTATTTGATGAGTGACCACAAAAAAACTACCTGGAAAGCTTTATTTTGTTTAATACTACTGACATTTTTCAATAACCAATAATCAATTCATTTAAACAATAGAAGAAGTAATATTTTTAGTTGTCCCGACATTTTGAGATTTTTATTTTGCAGTAATTGTGTTGTTTTATACTTTCTTATTTGCTTTTTTTTGAGAAAATCATCATACATTTAGGCCACGCCAATTTGATGTCTAGTTCTTTGGACAAATGCTCCAAAAAATATGGGGCGAGCGAGCAAAATGTTTTTGTTTTTATTTTTTTCTTGAAAATGAGCTTTTTTTGAGGTGAGTGCCCTATAAGTGAAGCGAGCAGTATGATTTTTTTTTTTAAATTGTGTGATTTAGATGTTATAACTGGGTTACTTCATTGAAACATGAGGAGGACAATAGTTGCTCTAATGCATATAGTTTGATTTTTTGTGCCTGTTCCATACCAGACTTCCTTGTCTCACTGTGGTTTAGTTTATTTTGATTATTTTCTTCAGTAAGCTGTGTCTGCATGAATTTTCATTGAAATCCATTTATATATTAAGGAAGCATAGCCACCACTGCAATCTTCACATATTTTATATAATAAAACATTTTATTCATGCATATCTATTCATAATATTCTTCTTTACGGTGAAGGTTTAATGAAAGAGATTCAAGGGTTTTACAAGAGAAATCATGGTAGTTAGGTAAATGACACATGTTGAATAAAATTGAAATATGTGTATGTATCCAAACAATGGCCCACGAAAGATCATTTGATAGAAGTTGTTTTCATTAAGAATTTATATGTTATGATTGTTTATTGGCTGCTTGACATCCGGTTGGAAATATTCATCCATATTCAGGATCAAAATATGGAGCGAGGTGAATATGTCTTGCCTTGTACTAAAACAACATTCTGAGCAAGATAGTTATATTGCTATACATGTACATCCCAAGGTAATAAAATGTTCAGATACATTTTCTCTGACCAAACATAGTACTCTTTCCTTTTGCTCCTGAAAGCAGCAATGCATTAAAAACTTTTTAGCTTGACTAGAAGTTGTTGAACCAATTGGTTTTGTTGGTACTCTTTATATTCCCCTGAACAAAAAAAAAAAGAGTTCTGCTTGCATGCCAAAAGACTAACAGGGGGATATGAGATTTCATCAAATCAAATACTTCTGTGATTTTTAAAAAAAATTCATGGGAATTTACAATTCATTTCATCCAAGATAGATAGGTCTAACTGTTATAACAAGGATCGGGAATGACGATGGTTCTAACAAATATTGATGTGTTTGTGGTCATCTAACGAAAGATTTTGTTTTTAATTTTTTCATCCTAAAACAGGTTGTCAAAGGTAAAATGAGAAGCATATTGGAAAACTGTGTGTTCAATAACTACTGGTCCAAGGCAATGAGCTGACACAACTGCATGTTGGCACCCCAATTTTTGACCTTTTATTTACAAATTGATTTATCACATGTGTGTTTGAAATGATTGGAGCATTCTATTTAATAGAAAAGCATCCATGTGAAAAAAAATTCAAAGAGAAACTAATTTTGGAGCTAGATGCGGACCACAAATTTGGACCACAAATTTGCGGAAGCGGTAATTATTTTTTTTATTGACAAGTCAATTTCTACAAAATAGGAGTGGGAAAATCCAAAATCAAATTGGTGTGGCCTTCTTACCTATTATTGTCCATCCACAATAAATGACACAATTTACCTAAATTAACTTATTATTGGATCTCATTTTTAACTTTCAGGGAATTTTAGAGCAATTGGAAAACACTTCATCAGCTTGCTGCACTGTAACGACAGAATTAATTTTAACTCCACAAGTTGTAAGTTACATGTTGCTTATTTATTGTTTTGATACCAAAACATTATAATTATAACAAAAACATTTTAAATTTATGAACAACAGGTAAAGTGATCAAAAATCATCATTACCATGATTACATTATTTTAAAAAAAATGACTATCACTGATGAACTACATGTATATACAAAATATTTCCTATCTGAAATAGAAAATAAGTTGTTTGATGTTGAGTAAAATGTATACATTGTGTAATATATCACATTGAGCATGTTGCAACTAATATGAATAAAAGTAGGAAAAAAAAGGTTTTATTTCAATGAGACAGCAACACAAAAAACGCCACCTAAGTAAACATAGTTTTCAACAATAGATAAGTGTCTAAACAATATATCAAGTCCTTAGTTGAGGGTAGTTTAGTCAAGTTATATGAAGTCCTTAGTTGAGGGTAGTTTAGTCAAGTTATATACAGTTAACAGAGACTGTCAAAGATCTGCCATAACCGCCAAATTCTTGAAATGACAAAAATATTTTAAGATACAACATAAGACAACCACTGACAAGGTTTTATTATGCAAGTTTCTATAGAAAGCAAAAAATGTTGCAAATTTTTGTTTTCAGATTCAACAAGTTTTAATTGATGTAAATTCAAGCAGACCAGTTGCAGTTGTTTCAACTCGGGACAAAAATTTATCAATAGTTGTAGGTTTTAATGAGGTAATTGATATATCTATATTGTATACCTTTTGCCCTCACATTGTTTCCATTTTTTATCAAATATGAAATAGGTTTACAGAAGCATCAAATGAAATAACCTAATACCAAATGAACAGTACACATAGATCACCTTGTCCAGTCTGGAAGGGTTTTAAGGTAATAAACTAGCAAAACTTTTCACCTGATAACCTCTAAAACATCAAAAATGGCCACCACTGTGGAAGATAGTTTTTAAAAAAAAGCTACTGAACATTATAATTATTACTGCAAAGATACTGACAATTATAAGACAGTCAATGAAACTATTGTAGAAAGCTTGTTCCTGTTATATTTTTTAATGATTTAGATAAAATTAAAATATATGAATGTCATGTTGAAGAAATTAGTTTCTTTTCAATTTTATAACTAACGTAATGTATAATTAATTGTTGCTCTATTTTTTGGGTGTTGAGAGAGTATGTATTGACTCAACTTTTTATGCATATTTATGTCTTTTTTAGAATATAGAATTAGATGATGGTATTGAGGCAGTGTTGAAAAGTGTCGACAGTGATATTAAATTAAAGAAAAAAGGGAAAAAGAACTGTACCTTTCTGATAATAACACTAAAACGAAAAGCTTTAGAAAAAAGTGTAGCTATATGTGATAAATTACAGAGTGTTTTTAGTTGACAATAAAATTACTATATTTTAAGGCAATTTTACTGAATTTCATTTATTGAAATAAAGTTCTCTGTTTCTTTCTCTCACAGAAAACTGTAAATCTTAACTGGTTATAAAGTATGGTCAATTTTACATAATGACAAACAATCTGTTAAAGTATGAAAGTTGATAGACATGTGGTCTCAGAGGAGTAGCCTTTACAAGGTGTTACTGCACTACAAGTGGCCACAAAAAAGGTCAAAGTCCCATAATAAAAATAAATGGGGAATGTGTCCATGGGACACAGATGATGTCCCCGCTTGCATATCATATAAATTTATAAAGGGACATAACTGAAGAACGGTAAAAGTGATGCTACCCAAATTTGTACTTGATCGGAGTTTTTGTGGTAATAAGTATTATGTATAAGTTTCATATCATTTGGTTGAGGCAAACTTAGAGTATGGAAACGAAAAAATTTAGCAATTTTTCCATTTGTAAAGGGGCATAACTCTAGAACAGTTAAAGTGACGCCACTTTTCAGTTTCGAGTTCAAACCCCACTTGTGGCAAGGTGCATTTGACTCAGATCTTAACCAACTATATAAAGCTAGGATTGACAGTTATCCTGCAAAAGGTTGTTGTTCTTTCTTGATAGTATGGCTTCCTCAAGGAACTTACCGCCATGATGTAGCCAAGTGTGCTGAAAGTGGCATTAAACACCAACAATCAATCAATTAAATAATAACTGACAAACTTGTATGTCCCAAGGTTTTAAGACAACCACAGTATACTTAGGTATCCATCCGGATTACACTACCAGCCTATACCCTTAGAAGGTGTTGGTTCACTCGTGTAGATGTCTTGATTTGTTTTTGTGAACCCCTGCATCCATACGATCCACCTTTGTCAAACGAGCATTGTACTATACAACCACACTGCATGGATAACATTATAAACCCTTTTCCCAGATTGCCGATCCATTCTAGAAATAAAACGATTAACTACCACACACATTGTCCAAAGAAGATTAGCGCAAAACGGAATGAACCGCAGAACCACATGACTTTATTTTCAAAATGAACTTGAAACAAGGATAGTGTACCATAACCAAAAATACCATACAGATTAACCGCAATTTCCACAATGCCCTACATGTGCGACTACCATACATCCCACACTATTCCCGATGCAATTGGAAGTAGTACCTCATTCAGAGTGAAGCCAGTTGAAATGGTACTGAATGTCCAGTGAGGTGTTGTCCATTTTTGAAAAGATACTGACAATTCATTATTAACTTTTTCTTTCACTTTCATGTTAATGTTGTCAACCAATAATTGTGATGTAACGTCTTGTTAACCTTTTTGAAACCCCATATGAACCGCATTTTATGTACTTCAGCATTTGTTTCATATCATTAAATTGTCCTGAAGACACCATAATAAGTGGCGAAACATGTAGACCAGAATAAAGCATTTCCTTGCAGTAATCCAGGATGTTGTTTGTCTTTTTATAGTTTTATAAACTTTTATGTTGATAGATACATGTAACTTATCATTATTGCGAACAGTAATAATGGTAAAGTACTTATTAAAGAAGGAAACAACCAAATTATACTTTTATCCTTAAAAGAATCCATTTAAAAATAAGATGATGTGGTATGATTGTCAATGAGACAAGTCTCCTCCAGAGACCAAATGAAGTAGAAGTTAACAACTATAGGTCACTGTACAGCCTTCAACAATGAGCAAAACCCATATCGCATAGTAAGCTTATTAAATAATAACTTAATAAATAATAATAAACCCTCTTTCTCTGTTAAAAGAATAACAAAAGGCATTAATTGGGTATTTTTAAATAAATCTTTTTAAACTTCTACCAATCCGTTATACAGCATCAGTATAAACACAATTGGCATATTCAAGAAGTTGAACAAATAAGAAGAAAGTGAATCTTAAAGTAAATATCTTAATTTCCAACTTCCAACCAAAATACAATGAAGAGGAAATTAAGTTGCAGATCAATAGCCGAGTCAGTATCACTGTCCTCTTATCAGTCTGCTGATCAAGTCCTAACTTTGAAAGAATGCTGCCGTAGTAGAAATTGTCAATTAATGCCCTTCAAAAAAGTGACATTACATGAAATCAGCATTTCAAAAGACAACAGGCAATGTTCAGCTGCAGTAAGAAATAAAATACATGTAAATACTTTTTATTTGATTTATTATAACATAAATATATAAACATGTATAAACTTGTACAAAACTTACTTATTGCCTTTTCAATATAAAAATAAGAAGATTGCCAATAAAACAACTCTCCACCAGAGGACAAATGATATAGAAGAAAACAAATATAGGTCGCTGTACGGCCTTCAACAATGAGCAAAGCCCATACTGCTAAGTCAGCTATAAAAGGCCACAAAATGACAATGTAAAACAATTCAAAAGAGAAAACTAACAAAACAATGAAAGAAAAACAAATATGATATTCAGCAAAAAACGACAACCACTGAATTACAGGCTTCTGACATGGGACAGGCACCTACAAAAGTTAAACATAACCACTTTGAGGCAATTTTTAAATAAATCATTTCAACAAACAACATTTATATAGGACCAACACTGACTGTAGCAAATGATAAAAAATTAACACTGGTATTTTTTATAGCTATAAAACATAACACTAAGTAAAACAGGAATGCACACATCGTCTTGTTAAGCATTGATACACTCGTAATTCAAAGTATTGGAAAACAGGGAGTAGGTGTCTTGACAGATCCAAAATGCACACAAACATTACAACTTATCACTGTTGTGGTGCTACCAAATATGAAGTCATTCTGTTCAGTAGTATTGGAGAAATGTGCGATGAAAATTTTACTGTTCTTTCACCATATTGAAAAATTCAAAATGTCAGCAAACAGGAAGTAGGTATCTGTCAGATCTGAAAAATGCTCACACATTATAACTCATCTCTGTCAAGGGGCTAACCAAGCATGAAGTCATTCAGTTTAGTGGTTTCTGAGAAAAGTGTAATGTAAATATTAGTTGTAAAAATGGACATGGTGATTGCAATACAACCCCCACTTCTAGGGGTGAGTCTATAATATACAATATAGCCCCCACTTCTAGGGTGAGTCTATGATATACAATATAGCCCCCACTTCTAGGGAGAGTCTATAATATACAATATAGCCCCCACTTCTAGGGGTGAGTCTATAATATACAATATAGCCCCCACTTCTAGGGTGAGTCTATAATATACAATATAGCCCCCACTTCTAGGGGTGAGTCTATAATATACAATATATCCCCCACTTCTAGAGTAAGTCTATAATATACAATATAGCCCCCACTTCTAGGGTAAGTCTATAATATACAATATAGCCCCCACTTCTAGGGGTGAGTCTATAATATACAATATAGCCCCCACTTCTAGGGTGAGTCTATAATATACAATATAGCCCCCACTTCTAGGGAGAATCTATAATATACAATATAGCCCCCACTTCTAGGGGTGAGTCTATAATATACAATATAGCCCCCACTTCTAGGGTGAGTCTATAATATACAATATAGCCCCCACTTCTAGGGTGAGTCTATAATATACAATATAGCCCCCACTTCTAGGGGTGAGTCTATAATATACAATATAGCCCCCACTTCTAGGGGTGAGTCTATAATATACAATATAGCCCCCAATACCTAGTAAGATATTAGTTCTATAAGAAAGAGACACAAAACTGATTACAAAGTGAGATCATGGTAAAGACAAGCAATTTAACATGCACACACTTCTTCAAATAAATTCTGATAAAACAACTCTTTGTAAGCCAAATGTCATGTTATGTCTTTTCTCACATATATATAACTTAAAAGTAATGAAAGTGTTTACTGCATCATGATTGTAAGATAAGGTCTATAGCTTGTGCTAAATTATCCACGTAACCATCTGCCTTTACTGTTGGATGGTTTTCATCAGATGGCCTGAAATAAATAAAAAAAAGTCAAGTTTAAAGACTTGTTAGGTAAAATACTAACTTTCTTCAATGCAATTCCATCCTTAACTATTTGAACTAGAGGCTCTAAAGAGACTGTGTCGCTCACCTTGGTCTATGTGCATATTCAACATTGTAGAAGAGAATAGATTTTATGATAAAAATCTCGGTTTTGTTGATCTTGTATTGCTGATCATTTAGTCTGTTTACTTTCTCTCTATCTTCAGTTTTTGCTCAAAACATAAGAGGGTAAAAAAAAATTCTCATTTAAGGTCAATCACTCCTATAAAAAGTGACAGACTACTAACTTTATCGACAAAATTTGACTTGTAAGTATCATTTCTGTGACCTAAAGTGTCTATCTATTATAATTTTAATCATATGAGGCAAAAAACAAAAAAAATCGTAAAAATCGTCATAATAGGGCAAAAACTCCATTAAGGAGTCTTTGGACGATTTCCTCCATATTTGTCTTAATTGTAGATCTTGTCTTGCTGATCATTTTTGCTTATTTCAGTTTCTATCTATCTATAGTTTTTAAGATATAAGATACAAACGCCAAAAATTGGTAAAATTCGTCATCAAAGGTCAATAACTCTAATAAGGAGTCGACTGACGATTTCCGCCATGTAGACTTATTTGTAGAACTTGTTTTGCTGATCGGTTTTGCAATTTATAGTTTCTCCCTATCTATTAAATTTTTCGAGATAATAGGCAAAAAGGAAAAAAAAATGGTAAAATTTGTCATTTAAGGGCATTAACTCTTATAAGAAAACGTCTGATAGATTTGATAAATTAAAACAATGTAAACCCTTCAATGCTAACAAGCACTTTGATTATTTTTAATTACCTGTATTTTCCAGTACGGACTTGTACACCTCTCATGCCACATGACTGAGCCCCTCCTACATCATTTACAATGTCATCACCAATCATTACTACCTATGACATAAAATTCAAAGTCTAAATATTAATACATGTATCACCAATCATTACTACCTATGACATGAAATTCTAAAAATCTAAATATTAATACATGTATCACCAATCATTACTACCTATGACATAAAATACAAAGTCTAAATATTAATAAAGTATCTCCAATCATTACTACCTATGACATTAAATTCTCAAAGTCTAAATATTAATACATGTATCTCCAATCATTACTACCTATGACATAAAATTCAAGGTCTAAATATTAATACATGTATCACCAATCATTACTACCTATGACATTAAATTCTCAAAGTCTAAATATTAATACATGTATCACCAATCATTACTACCTATGACATAAAATTCAAAGTCTAAATATTAATACATGTATCACCAATCATTACTACCTGTGACATAAAATTCTCAAAGTCTAAATATTAATACATGTAAATCATGGGTATTGTAATGATTTTTAATATGTATACCTATTAGGGATGTCAACTCGTTGAAGATTTACTAATCGAGTACTCGTTGGATTTACCGAGCGATACTCGAGTACTCGCTCGGAAAAAACATCTACAAAATGGAAACACAAAATCATACCCATTGTGGGACGTTGTCTTATGGTGGTAAAATCCTCAACATTATTACCCAAGACTAGATAATAGTCCAAGGAATTTTATACCATAATTATTGCGAACCCAATGAAAGTTTTCCACAGTGCCATCTCTATCTTGACCAGGTATTTAAACTTTTGCAAGTTCACCTGTCCTATTGAATGAATACAATAGCTATTTTTCTCTGTGTAGTTTATTCACTGGGACCTTTAAATTTCTTCTAAGAGAAATCTATCACGCATTGATTAATTTACCTGAACAAAAAATTTAACTCTCAATGATAAAAATATATGTACCAATACTAAATAAGGACACACAAAACTATATGTGATGTTGATTTATTCAATATCTATAATAATTTAGTAGGCTTCTAGAATGTATTAGGGTAAGTTGTCTGCATTGGCTATTTGCAATATTAGCCATAATAAACTGATCTACTTTATTTGCATTATTCACCAATTTTTACTAAATTGTCTACAGCTTTTCATAATTTTGTTCCAATGTTTTGACATTAAATTTTGCTATGTTCCTATGAAAATTTGTGACTTTCAAATTATTTTTTTTGTGTTGGACAAAAAAAACTATGAATGTGACAATGCTAATATTTACTCTTATTATCCATTTAGACTGTACTTGTACTTCAATGTACATTTATTCTAATCAAGCTTAAAGGTTTGTGAAAAAATGTCAAAATAAATAATCATCTCAGACATAGATTTATAGAAATAAATTATAGCATATTTAAAAGTCAGGAAATGCAAATAAAATCCTGTTAAAACAAGGAATTATTTGAATCTGGAATAATTTTGAATTCTAGAAAATTATTTTGAAATTCATTATGCAAACTAACCCAACTAAATAGGGTTGGCCATGCACACTTGGCTGAGGTTCATTTTACTTTCACTAATACTTCAGTATGAACTAACTAATCTCTCTTAGCCAAGCATGCATGGATAACCCTCCTTAATTAGTTTTCATCAAGCATTTCTTATATATTTTCTAGAATTCAAAATTATTCCAGTTTCAAATAATTCCTTGTTTTTACAGGATTTTATTTGCATTTCCTGACTTTTAAATATGCTATAATTTATTTCTATAAATCTATGTCCGAGATGATTATTTATTTTGACATTTTTTCACAAACCTTTAAGCTTGATTAGAATAAATGTACATTGAAGTACAAGTACAGTCTAAATGGATAATAAGAGTAAATATTAGCATTGTCACATTCATAGTTTTTTTTGTCCAACACAAAAAAAAATAATTTGAAAGTCACAAATTTTCATAGGAACATAGCAAAATTTAATGTCAAAACATTGGAACAAAATTATGAAAAGCTGTAGACAATTTAGTAAAAATTGGTGAATAATGCAAATAAAGTAGATCAGTTTATTATGGCTAATATTGCAAATAGCCAATGCAGACAACTTACCCTAATACATTCTAGAAGCCTACTAAATTATTATAGATATTGAATAAATCAACATCACATATAGTTTTGTGTGTCCTTATTTAGTATTGGTACATATATTTTTATCATTGAGAGTTAAATTTTTTGTTCAGGTAAATTAATCAATGCGTGATAGATTTCTCTTAGAAGAAATTTAAAGGTCCCAGTGAATAAACTACACAGAGAAAAATAGCTATTGTATTCATTCAATAGGACAGGTGAACTTGCAAAAGTTTAAATACCTGGTCAAGATAGAGATGGCACTGTGGAAAACTTTCATTGGGTTCGCAATAATAGCTCAGTTACCACATGTACTAATTATGTAAACTGGCAATGATCTAATCAATGATAAATAAACATCTATAGAAAAATGATTACTCAAACAATAGTATTTGGGAATCGTAAAAATACAAATTTAATGATCAACAAAGGGGAAATGATTAGAACTTACTGATGTCTTTAACCATTTTCTGAGGGTCAACACAGGCTGCAACGAATTTGTTCTTGTTTAGAAATATTATCTTCTCAACTAGTCGATTTCTCAATTTTGTTACATAACTAACCGTCCTGCTGATGAAAATATTTGCTCTGACGGTACAGAAGGGGTGGATTGACTAAGACACAATTAGCTAAAAGTGTAAGCCTTGGAAAGGTGCTCTTTTTCATAGCCTACCTATGTTCAGAGGAATTTTAAATGACAATTAAACGAAAGCATTCGAAAGTTCAAACGTATTTTAATTTTGATCAATTTTGATTAATATTTAATTTCCCGGGAGGCACTCTTAATAAAAATATTATTTCTTTAAGAAGGCAACAACATTCTAACAGGAAACCGATTAGTCGAGTATCATTTTGGTATTCGATACTTGGTACTACCGAGGGATACTCGAGTACTCATTGACATCCCTAATACCTATAGATAATGAAAATTGATCAATCATTATTAGTTACCCTACATCAATTTTCAACAGACATTTTTCTTTCATTAACAATTCTTTTGCTAAAATCTTTTAAAATTCAAACAATAACTCGCAATAAACTTTTAAAACATTATTGTAACATGAATGGTAATTTTTCCTTTGATCTTCGAGTGAGTTAACTTGGGTTATATTTAGAGGAGTGTGTTAACTGAATGCATTCTTAGATATTGCACTCTCTAGTCCTGCCGTGTGTAGCTTGTCATAGGAAAAACAAAAAATGGGAGGAGCTAAGACCAGTGCTCTTACTTCAGTTTCAGAAGTGGTTATTTCACTGTCTAGCTCCGCCTCCACCTCCTTGGCCTAGTAAACAATGAAATCAATGACCATAAAATGTCCTAATAAATTTAAACAAAATGCATACACACCAATATGTTCAAAACAAATTCGGGAAGTGGGTGAGGGGGTGTCTTAATTACCCCAACACTAGCCAAACTTGTAAACTTAACCCTAAAAATTGTTCCCTATACTTGAAACAAACAAATGCCCCAAGAGAGCTACAAAAAGGAATAATGTGGTCCATAAACGAAGAGGCCATATTGATAAATTGGTGAACGCTTGTTTTTATTGTGTCAAAATAAATATTCTAAAAAATTGTCACTGGATTTTGAGTGGTTTCATTTCCTCCACTTTTTAAAGGTATATCTCCGTGAATTGAGCATGCTTAAAATATATATCTCTGGACCTTACACAATCAACAGCCCATCTATCGGTCATTTTCATGGAAAGGAAGAATACCTGCACAATAAGTTTTAAAAACATGTTATCTTCTAAAACTACACGTACTTTTGTATTGAAAGCAGACAGCATGGCATACATCTAACAAGATTTTGCATCTATCCCCTCAAGAATTTATGCCCAGGGAGGGGAGGGCACTTCAGTAACGCATAAATTGCTCTCTGGTCTTTTAACCTTGATGAAAGTATCACAACAGCTAATCATTTACATGTTCATCTATCATTAAATCAAATCCTACTAAAAAGTTCATTTTCTGAAGATAAGAGACGTTTTGTCATAGAAAGTGCCACTATTTGATTGACATATCTAATTCATGAAAAGTACAGTTAAGATTTACCTTTGACTTGTGTCATCGCCCATTAATGTTACAAATCATATATAGCCATGCCTTACTCATTAACATATTTCGTTAATTCATAAAAGGCGTGCTATATATATAACATAAATAACATTTTTAACGCAAATTATGTTTAATTTCTGACATATCACACTTTAACTACTAATAACTGGTATTGTACAATTAATCCATTCATTCAAAAACAGCTGGAGACAGAAGCAAGACCCTTAGGCTTTTGTAAGTATGAATTTATTTTGGCACATGCCCTGCTAACACTACTGACTGCTTAGTCATGGTCAAGTAAATGGATAATTATTTTTACTAATTGATCAGTTTGGCTACATTTTATATACCAACTGGAATTTGTTAAAAAAGATTGTTGAGTGGAAAAGCAGAACAGGGACATTTGCCATTAAGTGACAGAGATATTCCTACTTACACTCTCTGCTGGTTGTCCCAGATCTTGGAGTACTGCACCAAAGAAGGACTTGGACGGCTTACCAACAATTTCTGCTTCCACATCACAAGCATACTGTAAGGAAACAAACATAAATCAAGTTTCAGGTAAAAATTATTTCATACTTTACACTAATCAAGTTTTACACTGAGCATACACTTAAACTTTTAATCCTCTGAGAATTTTTTATAGTGTTGTACAATGTTAATAATGCTTCATATTGTGTGTTAAGGGAGATAACCTAAGTTTAGTTAAAAGTTTTAAATGTAACTTTTGTTGCTGAAATTAAATTAAAATGTATTTTTTTCTATTTCAAAATTATCTACAGTATGTTCATATTTCCTTATAAATGTTCTGTCATGTTTGTTTTAACGACCTCAATAAGCCATAAACTGGTCGAAATAAGGTATTGTATTGAATTGTATTTGCAGTACATTGTCTTCTTACACATGTTTGAACAATTCTAAATCTGTATTTCTATTGTCCTGTAAAGAAGTAATATCAGAGGATTAAGTACAATGTTTCAGTAATTTATCTATGTGTAAGCTTTATAAAGTCCAAAGAACTAACAACTATCAAAAAAGAAAAAAAGTATGGTCAAACAGAGAGTGACTGGAAGGCAGATTTGAAAATCACTTTACTTATCATTTCAACTCATCATGAAAAAGTTCCATTCCAAAAATCAAATCATTCTTTAATACAGAAGCTGAGTAAAATGTAACAAAAGTTAAAGGTAAATGCAGTATACCACCCACTCAATAAGTGGTTGAGATGTTACCTCAAGTGCTTTTGCAAAAGGTCCAATATCCAATATCAGGTCTGAGCCTTCCTTGTAATATTTCCTGCAAAATATGAATTGAAAAACTATAACTCTATACACATAAATGATTAATTAAATCATTTTTAAGATTTGAGTCTGTCTTCATTACTTGCGTAAGTAGTTTTGATTGTAGGTTATCAATTTCCTCAACATTTTCATCAATATACAATTTTTTATTTGTTCTTGCAGCATACTGGATGACTTTAGGGCTTTATTAAGTTGAAATATAAAAGATAAATGTGGATAGTGTCCACATGTGGACACAGATGATGCCCCTGCTTGCATATCATATAGTTATAAAGGGACATAACTGAAGAACGGTGAAAGTGACTCTACTCAAATTTTCGTACTTAATCTGTATTATGTAGTAATAAGCATTGTGTATAAGTTTCATAACATTTGGTTGAGGCAAACTAAAGTTAGAAAACAGAAACAAAAAATTTGTACTTGATCTTAGTTTTGTGGTAATGAATATTGTGTATAGGTTTCATAATGTTTGGTTGAGGCAAACTTAAGTTACAGAATGGAAACAAAAAATTTTGCAATCTTTCGATTTATAAAGGGGCATAACTCAATAATGGTTAAAGTGACACTACCCAAATTCAATTTGATCTGTGTTTTATCAGTGGAAGTCAAAATTAAACATTGCATTGTATAAAGCATTGATTGTAGTTGATTCAACTATAATCATGGACAAAGGAAGATAACTCCAATTTTAATAAAATGCTCCGCAGGGCGCAGCTTGATACGACCGCAGAGGTCGAACCCTGAACAGTTGGGGCAAGTATGGACACAACATTCAAGCTTGATACAGCTCTGAATTTGGATTGTGATTAAATATTTGACACAGCATAGGTTTCTGACACAGAATGAATGTGGTCTAAGAACTTAAAAATTTTAAATTGGACATTCACCTATTATGGTCCAATATCCAAAATCTAAATACATGGTTAGATTCAGTATATCAAAGAACCCCAAGAATTCAATTTTTGATGAAATCAAACAAAGTTTAATTTTGGACCCTTTTGACCTCAATGTGGACAAAGTTGATAACGGGGCCCAAAAATCTAAATACATGGTTAGATTCAGCATATCAAAGAACCCCATATATTCAATTTTTGTTGAAATCAAACAAAGTTTAATTTTGGACCCCGATTTGGACCAACTTGAAAACTGGGCCCATAATCAAAAATCTAAATACATGTTTAGATTCAGCATATCAAAGAACACTAAAAATTCAATTTTTGTTAAAATCAAACTAAGTTTAATTTTGGACCCTTTGGACCTAAATGTAGACCAATTTGAAAACGGAACCAAAAATTAAGAATCTAAATACACGTTTAGATTCGGCATATCAAAGAACCCCAATAATTCAATTTTTGATGAAATCAAACAAAGTTAAATTTTGGACCCTTTGGACCTCAATGTGGACCAATTTAAAATCGGGGCCCAAAATCCAAAAACTTAATACACGGTTATATTCAGCATATTAAAGAACCCCAAGAATTCAAGAATAAAACCCCATTGAAATTGATCAAGAAATAAGCAATTTATAAGAAGTATCTTCTTTTGCACAATACTGTGCAATTGAATATTTCTTGCTATTGCGCAAAACTGTACAATTGACAATTTCTTGCTATTGCGCAATATTGTGCTATTGGATATTTCTTGCTATTGCGCAATACTGTGCAATTGAAGATTTCTTGCTATTGTGCAATACTGTGTAATTGAAGATTTCTTGCTATTGCGCAATACTGTGCAATTGAAGATTTCTTGCTATTGTGCAATACTGTGCAATTGAAAATTTCTTGCTATTGCACAATACTTATTATATAAAAATTTACACATCCTGTTTGGTGTGTATCTCCTACCATATCATTATTATTTGCTTTTAAATATAAATCAGAAATAACCAACTTAAAATGGAAAATTTTAAAAGAAAAAAAAAAGGAAAAAAAGAAAAAAAAAGAAAAAAAAAAGAATCCCCCCCCCAAATTTTTTGAACCCCCTTATGATTCATCACCCCCAAACTCAATCCCAGCCTTCCCTTTGTGGTATGGTACCTTGCAGTACAATTTCAGAGAGATCCATACACTTGAACACAAGTTATTGTCTTGAAACTAGAAAAATGCTTATTTTTGGCCCCTTTTTGGCCCCCAATTCCTAAACGTTTCAGGCAATTACCCCCGAACTCAATTCCAGCTTTCCCTTTGTGATATGAAACCTTGTAGTACAATTTCAGAAATATCCAAACACTTACACACAAGTTATTGTCATGAAACTAGAAAAATGCTTGTTTTTTGCCCCTTTTTTGGCCCCTAATTCCTAAAATTTTGAGGCAATTACCCCCAAAATCAATTACAGCCTTCCCTTTGTGATATGGAACCTTGTGGTACAATTTCAGAGAGATCCATACACTTACACACAAGTTATTGTCTGAAAGTTACAAAAATGCTTATTTTTGGCCCCTTTTTGGCCCCTAATTCCTTAATTGTTGGTACCATAACCCCCAAAATCAATCCCAACCTTCCTTTCGTGGTATTGAACCTTATGGTAAAATTTCATGGAGATCCATTCACTTAAACTAAAGTTAGAATGCGAAAACCAATGTGTCTTCGGACGACGACGACGACGACGCCAACATCATACCAATATACGACCAAAAAATTTTTAATTTTTGCGGTCGTATAAAAATTACTTGATATTTAGAAGAAAATAAAAAAATTGTAATTTTTCCATTTATAAAGGGGCATAACTCTAGAACGGTTAAAGTGACGCCACTAAAATTCAAACTTGATCTGTGTTTTGTGGTTTTTCCATTTATAAAGGGGCATAACTCTAGAACGGTTAAAGCGACGCCACCAAAATTCAACCTTGATCTATGTTTTGTGGTAATAAGCATTGTGTATAAGTTTCATAACATTTGGTTGAGGCAAACTTAAGTTAGAGAACGGAAACCAATTTTGGGCATACGTACGTACGTACAGACGGACAAGGGTAAAACTTAATGACCCCACTGCTACGGCGGGGGCATAAAAATTTATTAAAAACACAAAAAATGAATAAAAAAGACAAAAAGATTTGTGAGCTATGGCTCACTAATGATTACCCCTCTTTAAGTACTTGGCTAACAGGAAGTCAAAGAAATATGAATCTGAAAATACATTACATGGTAAAGCAGATTCACATGAAGCCTGACAACAAACTGGCAGCTCTTATTTGTAATCAATCTAATGATAATTTTCTACTTTTTTACTTGTAGAGTAAACATTTATTATAATTCATGTACAGTGGGGATATATTTACCCTCCTCCAAGAGCAAACAGAACAGGTTTTTCTAGTGACATGAGGAGTTGGAAAGCTTTGTTGAGATTCTGATATGAAAAGTTGTCTGTAGCATCTCCTAGTACAACACAGTTAGGGTTCTCCTGATTTATCTCACGAAAATCGGACAGGGCATCTGTAAAAGAATTTCATATGTTACCTTACTGGAACAATGTAGTTTTGTCCATAACAGTAAACCTTGTGATACTGTTTTGCATGAGTTTTGTTGTGACTTGTAGTTCAGTTTTGTTATGAGTTACAATTGAGGTTTCTTGTGCTTTACAAATGAGATTTGCTATGAGTTGTAATTGAGTTTTGTTATGAGTCACAATTGAGTTTTGTTATAAGTCCCAATTGAGTTTTGTGATAAGTCACAATTGAGTTTTGTTGTGAATTGCAGTTGAGTTTTGTTATGAGTCACTATTGAATTTTGTAATAATTCACTATTGAGTTTTGTAACAAGTCACAATTGAGATTTGTTGTGAATTGCAGTTGAGTTTTGTTATCAGTTACACTTGAGTTTTGTGAAGTTGTAATTGAAATTTTCTTATGAGTTATATTTATGAATTTGGTTATGAAATACTGCTTTGAAATTTGTTGTGAGTAATAATATTGAGTTCTGTAATGAGACATTATTCAAAATTTTAATTTGAAATATAGTTCTGAGTGTGTTATCATGGTTATGATGATGATGATGATGGCTGGCTGGCTGCTTAACGTCCAGCGGCAAGTTAATATGCATATTCAGGACGAGAACATGTTAATGTAATATAAATATGAACCCTGCTTTGTACTAGACCAACACACTGAACCGGATTTTTACATGCTAGTTCACAAGGTATCAGTCTGCAGGAAGACATATCACCTTACCCGGACACATTATTCTGACTCCGAGCTGACCAGTCTTTGCTCTTACTCTTTAATGCCGTGTGCTTGGCAGAGAAGCAGCAAATACCAATTTTAAAGTCTTTGGTTTGACCCTGCCGAGATTGAACCCACAACATCCCGCACTCGAGGCGAACACGCTACCACGAGACAACCGAGGTGGTAGGTGTGTTATGGGTTATAATTCAGATTTTTTTAAGTTACAGTTTTGTATGAACTTAAGTTTTGAGTTGTGTTAAATTATGCATTATCAGTTCAAGGTTTTTCTTGATTTTGTTACAAGTTTTTTTGGTCTTGGTATTAATAATTTTTTTTCAAGATAGAAGCAATTTTGAAATTTGTTTGAGTTATTGCTTCCATCAACAATCCATACTGTTCCAACTTATTTTTCTACTGGATTTATTTTTGCTAGTAGAAAATAAAGTGAACATAAATTGTTGAAAGTATGTAAAACTATGATATTCAGTATAAATATCTCAAGAATATATGAAATTTGCTAAATAAATCACTGCAAAGTTGGATAGAAAGGGCTAAAAGTGTAATCTATATCTTCTAAATTCAGTAGGTAGGCTTTCTTATGTAATCTCCCATCCTTTTTTTTAAATTGACAGTGTAAATCATTTGGTGAGATTTACTTTGTATTGTGATATTTTAAAGTTCAATTTTTATACCTATATTTATATAGTTGCCATTTACATGTAATATACTATTAATTGCTTGTACTAGACAAAATATACCTGGATTTACAAGAAGATGTGGCCTGAGCCCTCTAGACTTCAAAATTTGGCAACAAGCTGGTATTGGAGGAAATACATCATCTTCTGTCATAGAAAAACCAATACTGTGCAACTTCTGTAAAAGTTTATGTCTTGTCTTGGTCGTTTCATTTGTACAAAATCTTACTGGAATTTTACTGTCCTTTAATCTTAAATAAAATACTAAATTAAAAGCTACAGGCCTAAACAAATCTGCTTGAATCATCATTGATGATCATGGAAGACAAATTATTTATATATAATATATAAAATCAATAAGCAAAGTAAACAAAATAAGGAAATACAGCACCCTTTGATTCTTAAAAGCTATATGATAAATCAAGTATGTAAACAATTTAAGTTTAATAATAACTTTTATGTACATGTTTTGCTTTGAGTGTGTTTATTTTAAGCTGGAAAGAACAGCTGTAGGTAGCTGATCTCTGAAGCTGTCAACAGGAGTGGTTTCAATGATGGTTTGAGGGAGCAAGTTCCATTGTATAATTGTTCGAGGGAAGTATGACCATTTGTATGTGTCCATGGAAGTTTGGATATGTCTGTATGTCTGTGTAATTGTATGGTTTTGTCTTGTTCTGTTGTCGTTTTGCTCAAGAAAATGCGTTGGAATGGCTACAAGACAGTGTATCATTTTATAAAATAAAGATCAATTAATTCTCAATGTCATATTAGAAATTTATGAAAATAAAAAGGGAGCTTACATCAGTAAATATAAACAATTCACCAAAGTTTCATGAGAATTGGTGACAGCATTTTTGAGTTATTGTCCGAAAACTGGAAAATCACCCCTTTTTTTAATGAATAAAACCCCATAACTCAGAAATGTAAAATGTAAAATTTATAAAATTCTAAAGGGAGCTTACATCAATACATACAAACAATTCACCAAAGTTTCATAAGAATTGCTGAAATCATTTTTGAGTTTTTGTCCGAAAACTGGAAAATCCCCCCTTTTTTTATGAATAAAACCCTGTAACGTAAAATCTTAAATTTATAAAAAAACGAAAGGGAGCTCACGTCAATAGATATAAACAATTCACCAAAGTTTTATGCAAATTGGTTAAAGCATTTTTTAGTTATGTCCGACATGTTGACGACGGACAGACGGACAGACAGACAACGGTATACCATAATACGTCCCGTAAGTGGGCGTATAAAAAATAAGTCTAGTTATAACTTATAATATAGGCAAGTATTGTAAGACTATACAAATCCTTGATATAGGCCTACAAGTTCTTATTCTTTTATCTATTTTCAATCAGTGTAGATCGTTACACTTATTTCATCTGTTCATACCTTTTAATAGCTTCGATAGAACCTTTAATTGGTTCACTTGCACCGCTCTCAAACAGAACACCTGTAATATCTAACAGTACACCTTTAACATTTTTACACCAGCTCATTTTTTGTTTTTATTTCTTACTTTCAGTTTTTAAGGTGTAGTGAATATTTCTAGTACAGTAAGTCAACTTAATAAAATGTTAATTTCATGCACATTTGGGTAACATTCACATGCAAAACAACACATGACAAACAAAATTGGAATTTTTAAGAACAAGTGTGCGTAGCAGTCATAGCATTAATCGACAGTGGTTAAATGGGCACACAAATTCCAATAAGATAGAAAACTAAATGTTAATGGACGACGGTTTCTCTGAGTGGATAGGATTAATAACTTTAAGGCCGCTTGACTACGTATTATTGAATACCAATATAGAAGCTTTATCGTTTGTCCTTACATATAATGTTATAATAGTCTTAGTTATACTGCAGAAATTATATCCTCTTACCATATTTAATTTTATCTACACTATTTCGTGAAGGTTACATTTTTTTAGTTGGATACTAAATCAGAATAAAAATTATGCATAGTGATACTGACATTTATTATCAAAAAATCTCGTCTCGCACCTGTGACAACAGTCTGTTAGTGCAATATATCCATTTGGATTCGTATTGTACGTACTGGTATTATCTGAGAACATATACAATGTTTCCATATCCATTTTTGGATGAATATTTCACAAAAGAGGTGCATGATCAGATATATATTTTTTGTTTTACCAGTTATCGTTCTTTGTACACACATGTTATAACAAAGTTCTTCACAACATTTTGTATACTTTCAATTGGAATACTAGATTTTATCTCATATAAACGATAACTTAAACCTGTGGCTGTTGGCTTACTATCTACTAATAGTCTATTGCCACAATAATAAAAATGATGACATTTTCCATCGTTCACAAAACATCAGAGGATAAATTGATTGTCGTCTGCTTATCGTCCAGTTACAAACATTCAATGGATATCCAGAGATACAATTTTATTTCATTTTTCATAGATTTTGCTCACTTCAATATAAATAAGAAGATGTGGTATGAGTGCCAATGAGACAACTATCCATCAAAGTCACAATGTGTAAAAAGTAAACAATTATAGGTCAAAGTACGGCCTTTAACACGGAGCCTTGGATCACACCGAAAGGGCCCCAACATGACTAGTGTAAAACAATTCAAACAGGAAAACCAACGGTCTAATCTATGTAAAAAACGAGAAACACTTATGAACCACACAAATAAACGACAACCACTGAACAACAGGCTCCTGACGTAGGACAGGTGCATAAAAATGCAGCGGGTTTAAACGTTTTAACAGGCGCCAACCTGAATCACCCTAACCCGAAACAGTGGTGTAACATTACAACATAAAAATACACAAGTTCTGGTGGATGGTCACAAGCACTTGTCTCAGAAAAAATCACATCTCTATACCTGAAAGTTAGGTTAAGGTACATAGATATATATTTTTTTTTTGAGACAAGTTCGTGTGTGAATGATGAATAAATGACAGGGAATTCAACCTTACCAATATAACTATTATATCGCAGTGATATAATTATTTGTTATCGGTATACTCTGGTTTGTTGTTATATATTATATTCATATTTGTATAACAGATATATATAATTTTCATCCATTTGTATATCATTCTATTCTACTATTCTAATGATAGTGCAGTGCAAGTGCATGGTGGACACTCTTCTGTAATAATTTGTTTTTTCTAATAGATTGGATTTGAGTAGGCATTCATATTTTCCCGCGTTTGTTATAAAACGTTCTTGAGATACTCTTCCGCATGCGTTAACACAAATTTTCGGTATTCTTGATTTTGTTATTTGTTATTGATATATATATTTCTCACGACAAAACATGTTCATATCATTTATCTATGTTCTTAAAAATCATTTTCATGAATATTTATTGATGAAATTAATATATAACAAGCGACAAGGAATGTTATTTTGCACTCGATAATATCCGCGTAATTATACGGTTATCAGTCAAAAACGAATGTCTGTGGCAACAATACACCAGAATGCCCTTACGGTCATCCGCTGTAAAAACAAGTAAATATACACTGCACGAATAAGTTTGACATATGACACAATGTAAATAAAAAAGATGTTTCAATGTCAAAAAGACAACTTTAACCTAGGACAAAATGGCGTTAAAGAAAGTAACGTACACAGGTAAATTTAGATATAATAATTTTGTTGTTAGGAGTACAGAAACATTTTTTTACAAAATAAATTTGTTGTTCATAGTACGAGTACAGAAGTGAAATCTTTTTCGTCATACTAAATACTTATCAAATGTGGTACATATTAAAAATAGTAAAACGAGATATAACACAAAATAAGTAAACATTGAATAACAGAAATGCATTACAAATTGTTTCAACAGGTCAAATTAACACGAAAATACGATTTGAGAGTACTCGCAGTTACTGAAAGCTAGTTAAAAGCCAAAAACAATAATACTAAAAAATCATGCATCAGAGACTAAAATCTATTAAAACACATTCCAGGCAGGGATTTAGTGTTTTAACGCCATGGACAGTCAAAGAAGACATGACTTGTGCCATGCCAAAATAAAAGTAACGACAGGCAGTAGGATAGTTATGATTTAACCTTATAATAAATATGTATGATGTTATGTATAGATAAAACAATTTCTAAATAGAAAATAAACGTGGATGTGTATATATACATCCCAAAAAAACATTCGAAAAGAATACACATTTAGTTATGTTATAATTTATTGATGACAAAATCGATGTTAGTGCCAATGAAAACAATATTCAAAGATGTTATTACAACATTAATAAAATAACCTTTACTAATAAGTTTGTTTAAAGGTTCGATAAGTTTACAGGTCTTTTCTAAATATTGTTTCAATGTGATGAAGAAAGGTCTTATAGTGACAATAGATTGTGTCATTAAAAAAGATGTTTTGCATTCCTATTGTTGTTCAGAATATACTCAAAGTGTATAACTCGGCAGCCTAGTGAATAGTTTTCGTTTTAAGCCAGACTTCAAATATTTGAAAAGTTCATGCAAAGCACTGACTGGGATACTGACTAGGGTTTCAGATTAATATACAAGAAATGTCCATGTTATTGTGGTATGATTGTCAATGGGACAACAATGAGCAATACCCATACCGTATAGTTAGCTATAAAAGAGCCAAGGCCTAAATAATTCAATCAAACAAAATAACAACAATATATACAAAACAAAAAACAAACAAAAACTGACAAACGTTCAATATTTTTTATGACATATAGCTAACTACTAGTATATCAGTAACTATCATGAAAATCAGGCGATCAATGACACATTTCAGACAATCTCAATCAGCATTTTAAGTCCTTTGGACATTTACTCCTTTGAAAATGATTTTGTTTAAAATTTGAAAGAGAATTAATTTATTTTACACGATGATAAAATCCGAGCAAATACTTTTAATCATTTGATAAAATACACAATCGTCAGCATATGTTTAATGAAACAATGACAGAAATCAAAATTGTATTTCTTCCAGCTTTCTGAGAAAAATCTAACATACGCTATTCAAAGATGTCTGTCGTAATTTAAAGGATGATAATGTGATTTAATATGCAGTCACATCAAATTTTAATTTGTCCAATGTTTTTCAGTATAGTACAAATGCCACTTTTCAAATGGATTATGTCGTCAGAATTATCAGCGAGAAGAACTTGCCACTATACATCATGTACTGTGTTTCAACCATAGACAAAGCCGATGAGGAAAGGCATTAATAATTCGGAGGAAATTATCCAATTGAAAAGTGGCGTTTGTACTTTGTATTAAAAAGATATTATTTTGCTACAGATTTTACAATTTGCCATTTTGTATTTCTTTGTTCAAGTTAGTTGTACTCAATCGGTGATCTCCTGTTAGCAGCTTGCCACGAATGCGAGAGGCCGGATCAATTTGATATTTGCTGCTTCTCCGCTAAGCACGAGCATTTTGTGAGCTAGAGCAAATACTGTTCGGCTCGGGTTCAGCATACTGAAAAACGTTGGACAAATTAAAAGGAGGTTATGATAGATAATTACCTTAACCATAGATGGAACACTGATCAACATTACAAGAAATCCCATCCGTTCATATGACAACTAACTCGATGATGATGATATCCACTGGCAAATATTACATGCATACCATGACGAGTAATTTGAGTATCAGCACTACATCGTACTAGACCGATACAGTATGTTAAAGGTTTTTTTAATAGCAAATGTATTGTTTTACAATATATGTGAATTTTATAATTTGTATAATTGTGCAACGACCGTGGTACTCTCCTTATGGTGGATAGTTGTTTCATTGGCAATCATCACAAGTCATCTCTTTATTTTTATACTATCTTCTTTGCAGAACTTATCTATTGGATGTATCGTTAAGTTGTCAGATGCAATGGTTTTCTCTTTAATCACTAGTCAATTCATTTTTAATTGAAACAATTCTTTAGATTTACTTAAAGCAGTAAACGATTTAAGTTAGTTTTTTTTTTAGATTTAAGCTTTATATAATATATATATATCCATTGGGATAATTTCAATACTAGTAGTGTAAATACATTTCAGTTACAGTCAAGACGAGAACTGCATATTAATTAAATTTCATATAATTTAGTATGTATTGTCTAAATATTTTAAAATAACTGATTTTTATTAACCATGTTTACAAGAACTAAAGTTTCTGAAGTCTTGTTGACATTTTTAGCCAATGATTTTAAATCAAACGGGCCTTTCAGAATTCAAGATTTTTCCACTAATGCAATCCTGGATTTGTTTATTCGTTTTTATTTGATAGACGTAGATCCATTTGATTTTATATCCACGTCATTTGGTCTCTAATTGAAAAGTGACATTGCCAATCATACCACATCTTCTTATGTTTATAACTCTTGAAATCACCTACATTTGTTTCTGTAGTATTAAACATACAACCAGCCTTAACAACATTACGTTGAACTATATAATACTGCATTAAAACGAAATTGCTATAATTTGACAATCTTATTGAAACAGTGTCTTATGTACTATCTTAAATAATGG